CGGCTTGTGCTCGCTCAGGTCCTAACTTTCGTCGCTTCTGCTTGATCGGCTTGAAGGTTGGGTCGACATTCAATTCGTGACTTGTTATTCGGGGGTTAATGCCCTTCATGTCGGCCATGGACCACGCAAACGTTGCGACGTTCTCTCGGAGGAAACTGATCAGCTCGTCCTGTATGTTGGGCAACAGTTTCGTGCCGATACCGACGCAAAGCTCTGGGTGGGCAGCATCGATGTTGACTTGGGCGATAAGATCGCTCTTCGGCTGCTCGTCGTGATAAACGATCCGTGGGTTGAAATCGCTACTACTACCGATCACGAATGTTGATGCCTTTCGGGCGCGCTTGTTGTCGACTTAACAATGTCGGGACACTGTCTGGTCGCCACGGATGGTGATGACGCGGCCCCTGATCGGCATCTTGATGCATTGATGGTAAGAAGAAGGGACGGCTCGCATGGCATTCAGCCATGGTGTTCCAAGGATGGCATTGTAGATCGCAGGTCGGTCAATAACCTCGAATTTGACTGTAATTGACTTCCCGTGTATGGTGGCAGGCATCTATATAGTTCCTATTGTTGAAATCGAGTCTCCAGCGAATCATGTGAGTGGTGATGGTGCGACTTTGATGTCCCGCTCGGGGATACTCATCTTGCGTAGAGTATCCATGAAGATGAGATCGACCGAACTTCCAGTGTCGATCAACACTTTGGAGACGTCGTCCTCTCCGAGTTGTAGTGAGATGGCGAGTGGATCGTTATGAGGTCGGTCGATGTCATGCGCATCCTGCTCTGTGAATGTGATCGGTAGATCGTCCTTGAACAGTAGTGGTGCGTCCTTCAGGGGATTGGCTGCCTTCCGTTCGTGCCGTTTTATTGAATTTATCGAGTCGGTGCACGAGAGGAGCCCTCCCATGATCATGTTGATCCGCCGACGTGGTGAGCTTGGAGGTGTGTGATCGTCTTCACGGTCACGCTTTGCTTCCTTGCCCTCGCGTTTAGAAGAGCGATCGGTGTTATCTCTTCTATCGCGATCGTCATCGGGTCGCCTGTCCTCATCGTCGGATCGTCGTGAACTCCGGGGTTCTGGAAGGGTGATCTCGCCATCGTCCCACCTCTTCCTCAAGAGGGCTGGGAGGGTGCGGCAATCATCGGTATGATGACCGTGCGCCCTATGATATTTGCACCACGGCTTCTTGCTGTCGGGGTCTCTGTCGCTCGAGTGGTCCCACACGTTCCATGGCTTTTTTGGTCGTCCAACTGCGTTGATGCTCTTGCGATTCTTGTCATCCTTGTCGTAGTGCTGACGAGGTTCTTTGTAATCTTCCTGACTCGACGATATGCCTTTCTTGTCGCGCGAAGATTTCTCATCGGCCAACTTGACCTTGGCCTTGGCTGCTCGATCCTCCTCGACTTTGATGTACCCGAATGCCTTGTGCAAAGCATCTTCGAGGGTTTTGGTTTTTCCTGTCTTCAATCGTTCACAAAACGATGATTCATCCTTCAAATTCTTGATAAGAATGTTGAAACACAGTTCGTCCGACACACTGCACTGGGAGACGATTGATGGGAATCGATCGATAAAATCGTGCAGCGGTTCCGTGTCGCCCTGAACGTATGCCCATAGATCGAGCGCTGTGGACTCCGTGTCGATGTAAATTGAATAATGCTTCAGGAACCGAGCTGTGAGCTCCTTGAAGCTGTCGATGGAGTTCTTGGGAAGCTGTGAGAACCAGGTGAGGGCACTTCCGGAGAGCGTCTCCACAAAGTATTGACAGAGGCATGCTTCCCATTCCTCATCGGTGAAGCGAGCACGTCCCATGACTGCGTTGAACGCGGTCAGGTGTCGCTTCGGGTCTGTCGTGCCGGAGTAACTCGGAGGTAGCTTCATCCGACCTATGTCCTTAAGAGGAGCATTGGTGATAGCCGACGTGAACGGGGTTTGCTGTGCCTCCTGAAGGATCTTATCCAACTCGGGCGCTGAAGTCGTCGCCTTGTGGATCTTGCTGTGGATATCATCAAGGCGTTGGTGGAGAAGATCAAGTTCCGAGGTTGTCATCGGGTCGGTTCCTGCGATATTGCGAGATGAGCGGGCATGCGAGCCGTCTGCCTGTGCTCTCCGTAAGTCGTCCGTCGGTGTCGTGCCAAACAAGTTGTTGACCAGCCTGGTCGTATCTGTGTTGCGGATCGAAGGGCGAGGGGGAGTGATAAGATCGGCCTGCTCTTGGGTATGAACCCTAGAGTTTATAAGTCTATCCAAGTCTTCTCTGTAAGCTATCTGCTCGGCACAGAGGGACTCGAAGCGAGCATTCATCCCCTGTTGCAACTGTGCTGCAACCGACCTGATGATCGTGGCCATGTCGATGGGAGGTGGCTGTGGCAGGCTGGTCGTGTTTGTGCCACCCGTCTGACCGACCTGGTCTGTTCCCCCGGTGTTCTGTGTGGTGGTTGTATTGTCTTCCTGATCGGTCTGGTGGGCCACCGGAAGCCCTGTGACTGGGTCGATGATCGGATCCTGAATGTTTCTTGTCGGATCGGAGGCTCCTCCTGTGAGGTCGGTAGTGTTGATCGGTGTATCAACCATCTTCAAACTCCGTTCTAAGTCAAAGATTGCTCTTTTTGTCCCCTCAGACGGCGCCAACTGTAAAAACTCAAGTTCGATCTACGAAAAAACTAGGGTTTGTGGGTTTAAAGAGAAGTCTTTTATTAGAAGAAGTCGGAGATTGAATGAATACACGGGGGTTTAGGTCGTCGGAATAAGAACACCGACCTAAACTCTTATGGAAAGTAAATAGATAGCTAGAACAATCAGATTGCTTAGTTTGCCCTAGGTCTCGATAGATGATTTTTGGATAGGATGAGGAGTCGAGGACTTCCTATATTTATAGCCGATTAGGTCGGTCTTCAATCTGCTTGGAATAGGAAACTCTTGTCGGCAAGGAGTTTCCTTTTTCCCCGGGTCGCTCGATAAATGGAAGATTTCCTTTTATGTTGCCGACCTGGAACTTGTTAGATGGGCCGACCAGAATTCGTATCGGGCTTGTTAGAGACGGTATGTATCTCATCTCTAACAGTATTGTTTGAGAGTTTTAATGACGCCTGATTGAGTTGTCTGACGAGTTGCAATGTTTGGATGGAAAAACGAGCTCTGTTTGAGCTGAAACTTGCCAGGAGTATTCTAAACTTGTGGAGATAGCTCTCGGTTGAAGGAAAACCGATTTGAGTATCAAGAGCATGGGGAAGCGTGTGCTTGAAGCCTTAGAAGAGAATCTGTCCAAAGAGTAAAGAAAGAGAAAGTATTCATTAGCAAGTGGCAAAGGTGAGGGTTGTGATCTGTGGAAACACAATTCACATTACTTCTATTATTTACATGAGTCAATATGCATAAGCTTAGACCTGATGTTAGAATAGGTTGTGTGATGATGTGCCTAGGAAAATAAAATGATGTGATAAGATGATATAAGATAGATTATGTGATATGATATGAGATATGGTATGAGTTATGTTATGATATGTTATGTATGGCTGACGAGCCCGGAATGGGAGTGTCTGAGCACGAGGCCAGCCTCCAAAGTATGGGGTTTTAAGGCTATCACAAGGATAGTGCTGTCTACGGGACGTATAGACCTCCAATATATGGAAATCTTGCTTCATTCGCAAGATTATTGAAATGTGTTATAACTTGATTAGTAAATTCGGCTATATGTTTGCTAGTGTCTAGGATTATGTGTTTTGATGAGTGTCAAATATTCGTAGAAATGTTAGTTATGTTTCGGTGGGCAGAGATGATCTCCCTCACTGAGTAATTCATTACTCACCCCTTTTTCTCTTTTCTCTTTTCAGTTGTTCAGGTTTATTAAGATTAGCACGCGAGCCTAATGGCTCAATGTGTTGAAGTTTTCAAGAGGTACTAGATGTCTCAGCTAAGTTAGCTGAGTCGGACATCACAAATATGATTTGTTAGTCTTCACGATTTGAAGATCTTAGCGAAAATGCAATTTATCGGTTTTAAGGGAAAAAAAGTTTTTTGGTTTTGGCGGGAATAAACAATTTTTCGATTCTGATGAAAAATGCAAATTTTCTTTTTTTGATATATAATGTAATTTTTTTGGTTTTCGCGAGAAATTGTAATTTATCGGTTTTGGTAGGAAAGCCTAATTTTTGGTTTGACGAGAAAAATGTTTTTTTTTTGTTTTGGCGGGAATAGATGATTTTTCAATTTTCGTGGGAAAACGAATTTTTCTGTGTTGACGGGAAAATACAATTTTTTTGGTTTTTGCAAGAAGATGGAAATTTTTGGTTTTGGTGAAAAAACTTAATTTCTAGGTTTTGGCGGGAAATGTGATTTTTTTTTTGTTTTTGCGGGAATAGATGATTTTTTAATTTTCGTGGGAAAACAAATTTTTCTGTGTTGACGGGAAAATACAATTTTTTTGGTTTTTGCAAGAAGATGGAAATTTTTGGTTTTGGTGAAAAAAACTTGATTTCTAGGTTTTGGCGGGAAATGTGATTTTTTTTTTTGTTTTTGCGGGAAAATGCAATTTCTCTGTTATGGTGGGAAAATGAAATTTCAGTTTTTGATGAGAAAATGATTTATTTTTTTTTGTTTTGGTGGGAATAGGTGATTTCTCAGTTTCGCGGGAAAATGACATTTTTTTTATTTTGACGGAAAATGCGATTTCTTGGTTTTTTGTAAGAAGATAAAATTCTCTGTGCTAAATTTTTAAGTTGCAATATGTTTACAGTAACCATAATTTAATTATTCAACTTCAACTAAATTGATATTTCAACATTTCAAACATAATTTTCTATTTAGTTCTAAAGCAATATCAATAGTTTTGATATGAATGTTATTGATTATAAATTGGTAGTTTTAAAAATATATGTTTATCCTATATATTAAAAAATAAACACGTTTACTAAAAAAACCTGATGTGTCGTTGATGTGTCGCTTCCACAATCAAACTTAGTGCAAATTAATGCCAGCCTAGAAATGTGACTTTGGCATTTTTTTGTTTTACAAAAGGAAAATTTGCCACGTCATTCAGAATTAACAAAAAATTCTCATCAAAATAGTTCTTAGCCGCGACAATAAGCTCTTCGTCGGAATTGTTCATTCCCAAAAGAATATATAGGATTTACCGGCTCTGAACTATTTCATGGGTCTCCGATTTCTAGAGTTTCGGCCAAGAAACGTAAGGTGAGTTCTCGAATTTCACTCCGACTCGATTCGGATCTGTTAGATTCTTTGTATTGAGTAACATATGCGTGATTTCAAAGAAAAAGTATATAATCAACACGCGTGGTTATGGCGTTTGTGTGCGTCTCTAATCTCAGATAATAATAGATCCGCGAGTGTCTCAAATTCCCAGTTTCTGTTTGTGAATTCTCAGTAGAGTATAATTGATTCAGGAATCATGTTTTCGTTGTGATTGTGGATAAATGTTTAGGGAGATTTGCTTTTTAACCATGGCTTGCGAAGTTGTATCCATCCTTTCTTCATACATATACATTTGAATCTTGGTTGCAGGCGAATTGGTTTTGGAAACTGAAACAGTGGAAGATTGATGCTCATCGCAAGCAATGTATTTATCACTGTATGTGACGACCCTTTAGAATCTTAATCTCAGTATTATTTCTCTCGATTTTCTTGTGAATGTTGATGAATTGTTTGTAAAACGGCAGGGAAGAGAGCAAATGTAGGTGGAGAGGAAAATAGCTCTAGACTGAGATCTCTGCGTGATTAATTGACTGATAGAAGAACAGCCAGCAACAGGTTTTCTCACCTTCAGGCTTCGAGGATTGATCATGAACGAGGGAGCTTCGAGTTCACCAGATGCGATGATGATAATGATGATAATGACGAATATGTGGAAAGAGAATCGTCTACTCTATTGCACTTACCTTCGTGATACAATTGGTTTGCTCGCTGGCTCCACCATTATGCTTCTCACTGTAATCTGGGTGACCTTCGTGATACAATTGCTGTAAACAACCAAGACACTAAACGCTTAAGTCTCAAAGGTAATCAGAAACTGTCTTATGATCTTAAATCACTTTGCAAAGTTTAATCGATCTCTTTGCCCCAGCGTTTAGTGTCTCTGTTATGATCTTTTTATCTTTTTAGTGTTCTTAAGTGGTTCCATAACTTGATAAGACTGAAGCGTTAACTACACAGCTTCACTGTTTTGGGATTAAAACAAGTTTCATGAAATTAATTCTGTTTACTCTTCGCCGTTTACATTGTTCTGCTTCTTAGTACTGCTTCAGTACTAAGAATTTAGGACTTTGGCATTCAAGCTTATGAGTTTGGTTTTCTGTTTGTCAACCTTTGCCGTATTGTTTCAATCGTAAGGTTAATTGATTCATTGTATCTTATTAAGTTGTGTTATGTTCACTGTATTCATGTACCTTCCCTGTCCTTTTGCATTTTTGTGTTTACAGGCGAGAAGAAAAAAGTTTTAAACATCTGCAGAAGCTTTCCATGACAAACAAAGGAGTCTAACGGCGGAAAAGTAAACGGATGTATGCAGCGGCTTCCCTATATTTGCAAGTAAGATATAGAAAATATTAATCTGTTATAAGACGAAGACGAAAATTTTTGAATCCTTTAGTTGCCAAACTCAGAGAATCTCTTAAAAGATTGAGAGATTGTTGTGTAGGAAGAAGAAGAAGACCGGTGAGAGACAGAGAAGCCGATTGATTGGTGAGACAAAGCCGTAGCCATTCTGGAGGAAAGGAATCGAATTTGCGATTAGTTCTTCAGCTTAGCATAATAATCTATGTGATTAAAAGATCTAAAACGATAGAAGGGAAGATCTAAAACAATAGAAGGGAAGAGTTCTTTGAGTCTCTCTTAAGTTGGGTGTTTCTAAAAGATCGGCTTCCTCAGGGAGTGACAACTAATTGGACAAGTGAGACAAAAGAACATTATTTTGGCCAATTATACGGAACGTGTATTGTTTTTAGTCTAGGGGATTATATATATAAGCGCATTATTGTGTTGAGGTTAATAGGAAACCAAATTTGAACAACAGTGCGGCAAAACAACCTCTCGTGGGGTTGTAGAGACCATTACTCGATTTATATAAACTGTATCAAAGTTTAACTACTACTATTATTTTTTATCAAAATAAATTAGAAGGAGAAAGACAGCAAATGAAGAAGCAAAATCCAAATCGTTGCCTTTTTCTTGATCTAGAGGGGTTTGGTTTGGAACACAGAAAAAAAGTAAAATCAAGTTCTTTTGCACAAAGAAATATTATTTTACAAAGGGTAAATAATCCTTTCATGCGCAAAATACTGTTTTATTTATATTGTCATAATATTTAAAAATATTATCTTACACATATTAATTCTTTCATACATATATTTTCACAGTATATTAAAACAGTATTTTATTAATTAAGTTTTGATATATTGTAATTTATTATATTTTATATTAGTAAATATATCAAAGTTATAAATAGAAAAACTTTTAATTTTAAATATAACATTCAGATATTAAATATAATATTTTACATCTTAAATTACATACATATAAGTTTAGATCTGAGTGGTTTAAATGCTACCGTTACAAAGAGATTGTGGAAGCGAGCGATCGCGGACTATAAAAAACTTTGACAAAAATATGAGCAGAGAGATACCAGGGAATTTTATAAAATTTGATTTCATAATTTTATAATAAATGTTCATTATATTTTTATTAAAAAACCATATATCATAAAATACTAAAAAAATAGGAAATTTTGATTAGATACAAAACGAGAGAAATGATTTTCGTGATTGTTGTTAAACGCTAAATATTGAATCATGTAAAAACATAATATTTATGGAAAATATCAATAAAAGTAACCAACACATAAATATTACAGTTCACTTATTTTGAACTCATACCTATGTGCATAAACATATGTGTTATTTAAAAAATAAATAAACCATACATTATAAAAATATATATATTATAAAACATATATTTTGTTATTTTATTTTAACACATAAAAGTCACACTTTGATTTTTTCATAAATATGTGTGTAGATATAAATATTAATTGTGTAAAAGTCAAAATCACATACGAATTTGTCGTGCATATATTTTGTTAACCTTGATTACAGTCTAATTTTAATTTTAATTATTAGAAAATTTATATTTTTTCAAAAATCTCTATATGTTTTAAGAACGGTGAGGTGGTTACCACGCACGAATGTGCGGCCCAACCATCTACCCGCTCTTAGAATAAATAAAAATGATAAACTCATTTTGATTAAATTATTAATAGGTCAAAAAAATATATACTTGAAATATATATACTGACAATTTTATATTCTTCATTAATATTTTTTTCATCTTTTATTAAGATTTATCACATTTTCCATTTCAGTTATTATTAATTTTTATTATTATTAGTAATTCATATAATATTATTATTAATACATAATTAATCATATAAATAGAATATTTTCAAGATATAATATTAATTATATATTCAACATATAAAATATTTTATAGTCCGCACACGGTGCGGACCGATCACCTAGTAATAAATATTTGACAAATAAATAAATTTTATACTTCAAAATAATCATATTAATTAATATTTTTTTTTAAATGGCATTTTGCTTTATATAGTTATAAAGGAGGATCAAATGACAATGTAGTGGAGAAAATAAATTACCTTTGCCATTGGATTAACGTACTTAAAAATATATTATTTTATTCTTACATATACATTTAAAGTTAGTTAGCTAAACAATAATTTTGAAAAATAAAATATAAAAGATATACAATGTTTATTCAGATTTAAAATATATAAATACATAACTTAAGCTAATAAAAAAATAAAGGGTTTTCTGTAATTTAACCCGTCACCTAAACTATTTTTGTAAAACTACCCTCCATCTAAAAAAATGCAATTCAAACCCTTACCTCGTGGTCAACCTGCAATACTGCCCACATGTTAAGTTGGCGTTATATTATTAACAAAATCAAAAATGCTGCATTTTTAACTGATTCAAGCTGATAAAAACCACAACGTTTATTGACAATTTTGGGGATTTTGCTCGAGCTAGAATTGGGAAATTAGGGTTCATAAAATTTTTCGATTTGAAGAATCTCATCTCTGTAGGATTTGTTATGTTCATTTTGCATCCCTGTGTCGCCGAAATCAAATGTAATTTCGTCATTTCTCGGATCTAGAATGTGTTTACTTCTTTCTTCCCTGTCAAATTTGATCCATCATTTATAAGACTTGGTGATACTCTAGATGAATTTTCTTTTTCCTTATGTAGTTGATGAGGTCGTTTATTGTGCTTCTCTAGTGTATCAGATTTTAAGTTCGATTGAAATTGGTCCCTTCTTTTTATACTGTTCGAAGCTTGCTTGTGTGAAATTGAGAAGTTCTGAAGTTCTGATGATGAAATGCTCTGAAAATATGTTGTTGTTCTTACCATATAAGCTATTTAGCAGGTTTCCTGAATCAGATTTGTTAGTTATTTGTAGTTTTTGAATCAAAAATATTGTGTTGTTCGACTGAGAAATATTTTGTTGTTTATTGATGGAGATTGCTGTTTTGTATAGATGGGCATTCATGGCTACACTCAACCTTCAAGTGATAGCGGTAGCAATTCAACTGGTGTTAGGAGAAGATTAGCTCGGAATACAATCCCAATAAAAGAATATGGGATTATGAATGAATGTTATTGTGGAGCGAGAGCAATAATCAATACTTGTCGTTCCACAATGGACCCGGGAAGGAGGTTTTTCACATGTTCAAACGTAGGAGATGGAGAATGCCATATTTAGAAGTGGTTAGACGAGGGAATCATAGAGGAGCTTACTCTCATTCATAACAATTATGGAGCAGTAATAGATAAGATAGAGCTATTCACCTACACTGACGATTTCTATATGGCAAAAGCCGAAATTGATCAACTCAAGCAGAAGATGATTCAGACCGAAGAGAAGATTGCCAAGTTGGTGATGTTTGTTGACGAGATGAAGAAGAAGAAAAATGGCATAACAAGCGGTTTGAAGATGCAGATTGCCCTTGGTGCAAGCTTTGTGATGATCATTGCTCTCACCATTATGATCTTTAAGTAGATGTTTAAGTATTAACTCTCTGTTTGAAGACTTTGTAGCCATGTTTAAAATACTGATGTTTCCTGCTTTGGCTTTATCTAATGTATTCATAATGATGTTTAAGTGGATGTTTAAATAGTAACTCTATGTTTGGTTTATATGTATGCATTTCTCTATCACTATATTAACTATCTATTGAAAGACAACTAAAGAGAAATGAAAATAGTACTTTTGTCATAAAAGCAACAAAGTGTTATCACAAAGCAAATATCATTGTCATAAAAGCAACAAAGTGTTGTCTCAAAGGATTCAAAAGCAAAGAAATAGAGATTGAAATCTTAAAAGTCGCAAAAAACAGAGCATACATGATCCAGAAAAAAAACAGAATATGAGTTTCATCCAAAAGAAAAACAGAACATGAGTTTAATCCAAAAGAAAAACACAACATGAGAAAAACCAGATCACTTCTTCTTCCCACCACCTCGTGAAGCCATTTTCTTGCGCTCTATTGCTGCATAAAGATGAGTCAGTAGGATTGTATTGTCACTTGTATCTGTTACATGTATCCAACTGATATGGAGTCATCACCAGTTAAGCGACTTGGGAAAAGTCCATATCCTTCCTGCAAACAAATAAAAGTCCATATATTCAACATATGAAAATAAAACCAATCAACTACACTCAACTTACTAAAACAAAACCGGCAAAGGAAAAAGAGAAGCTGATTACATACCCTTGGTATCTATATAGGTGCATTTTCATAATTTGGCTCTTGCTGTCTAGAAGCTTCTTGTGAAGATGAGGCAGTATCAAACCAAATTTTACGTGGTCTTCCTGGTTTTCGCTTTGGAAGAGCTTGTGAAATGCTTGAAGCGCGTTCAGGCTGTTGTCTTCGAGGACGTTCAATAGGTTGCCTTTGAACTTGAGAAGATAAACTTTCACCTTGAGATGCAACAACTTGCGATGATGTTGTACTCTCTATTAGAATTTGGATTCTTCCTTGGCCGCCCGCGTGGGTTTTTTTGTTATTGGCACAAAATTGTTTAAGCAGTTGCTTCTATTATGCCCTTCTTGTCCACAATTCCAACAATGCTATGGACAACAAAACAGAAACCAAGTATCAATCTCTTGTAACAAGGAAACAGAGAGAGAGAGAGGGAGAGATAGAATGACATTACCATTCTAAGTCCCACTTTGCACATTTTCCCCTTCTCTCTAGCTTCACCCTTTTCTCTCTTTCTCTTCTTACCCGGTGGGCGCCTTGGAGGCTTCTTATATGGAGGTGGCTTAACTCGCTCAGAAGTTGTTATCTCCCACAGGTTCATGCCATTCACGGGTTCCATTGGAGTATCATAACACTTGCGTAGCTTCTCCACTGTAAACCAATCGGAAATCAATGTTTTTGGATCGTGATCAACATTCCTCTCTAGCCGAAGTGCAGAGACAATGTGGCAGCAAGGAATACCACTTATGATGTACATTCTGCATGCACAATTCACCTCCCCTTTTAAGTGGACTACAAACCGGTCAGTGAAGTAGCCAACTTCGTATTTACCCAATCCACATGGCAAATGACTGAAATTCTTTACAAGTTCTATTTGTTGATCCAACAATGCTCTTATCTAGGAGTGTAAATTCTCTTTGCTTTCTCGGATTCTTTTTTTTTCTTCTCATTGCTAACCACCACACGTCTTCTAATCTATTCAAGCATTTCCACAATTGGTTTGGTTCTTTCCATACGGATTGCTGCATTGAATGACTTTCCCAAGTTGTTTTCTACAGCAGCACACTTGGAGAATTCGGTGAAATAAGCCCTTTCTTAGAAACCAGAGATAATGTTATAAACCAGAAATAAAAGATACTTAAATCATAAAAAACATACCTAGACCAAGCGCACGAATGGTTTATCTTCAAATCATCAAATGCTTTTTGCGAAATGTTCTTCAAGGCCTGCATTTTCCTATCAAATTCCGCCATATAATATGCATATGCAGCACCCCAAAACAAATCATCATACTCTGCTCCACTATGTAACTTCTTCCAGTTTTGATGAACATGGCGTGCACACAGCCTATGTTCGGCATAAGGAACAACCAAATTAACTGCTCCTATCAGCCCCTTGCATTGATCACTACACAGCGTCAAACCATTGCATGTTCCTAATCCTAAGTCGTGAACCAGATGTTCCAAGAACCAAATCCAGTGCTCTTTAGTTTCACCATCCACAATGCTCCAAGCAAAAGGAAACATCTGATCATTTGGATCTCTTCCACAAATAACTAGCAAAAATCCTGTCATTCTCCACTTCAGAAAAGTACCATCAATGAGGATGATTTTTCGACAAGTGCTCGTCCATGCATCTTTCAAAGCTTTAAAACAGACATAAAATCTATGAAAGACACCTTGCCTAACCTCACATTCTACACTTGAACCCGGATTTGATCTTTTTATTTCAGCAACATAATCATGTAGCCTTGCAAAGGACTCGGCATGTTCATCATCAAAAGTCTGTAAGCACTTCAGCCTTGTCTTCTCACAGATAGTCCAAGGCACATTGATGTTCTGCTTTGACAATTTTATTTGCAGTTGATTAGCAAAAAAGTGTGGATTCTCTCTAAACTCTTTGATATATTTCTCTGCTATGCGTGTGTTAGTAAGCAGAGATATACTTTACCTTGCCATGTACAGTTATGCTCAGCTTGTACAGATCTTACCACAACCCTGCTGCTAGTGCTGTTAATCGATGCACAAATCCTCCAAGGACACGTTCTTCTACAGCAAACGGCAACAACTCTTTTGCTATCCGTCTTGAAGTAAGATATGTCATACTTCTTCTTCACTGCATACTTTGTAACTGCACTCTTGAAAGATTGAATTGTTGAGTAACACCGCCCAAGCTCAAACTTCTTATACTTGCGCTCATCAATGGTGTTACGACCACCATTGTCACTGTCACTATTTGCGTTCTCTTGTAGCTGTATCTCAGACTCATTGCCATCCTCATTCTGAGCTTCAATATCCCAAGCACCATTACTATCGTTACTTTCATCTGAACTGCTGTCAATGCCATTGCTATTATCATCACGATTATTATCACTATTGCTATTAGCAGTATCTTTTTCCTCAAAAGGTGACACACGATTACCATCACTACTCCGAATCATCAAATACGGATCATCTTCCCAAACAATAAATAGTGTTAAAGCACATGTTCCAACAGCATAAGAAACCACTTTTCCTAAGCTCTCATTGTCATCAATGTCTACTCTCTTCCCACTCTGATCTTCTAGTGGAAACTAAGATATTTTCTTCATGTTATCTTCATATCCCATGCTTTGAACTTCTAACGTCTCAATATGCTTCAAACTAAAACCATCGGCCAAAATCTTACCTACAGCTTAGTTTCTCCACCAATGTAGGAGCCGCCTCAGGACCAATACCCACCAATATGACAGAAGAGATCGAAGCTTAAAAACTTGCAGAAAACCTAACATTATAACAATTGCAAACAACAAAAGCTATTCTGCATATATAAGTCACTCAAAATTACAATATTGAAATTATCATATTACTTCATCTTCGCGTCTTCTCGATATCAACTGGAATCCCCTCAGTTGTCTAAAATGGTCGACAAAACTTCTCAAACCCAAAACTCACAAAATCTTGAAACTCTTCAAACCCCACAGAATCCCAAAATGATACCAAACTCCTAAAATCTACTTTAGTCGAGCTCTATGCCTATCTTAATAACCATTTTACCACTCCCCTGATAAAAACTCTTCTATTTCTCGATGAACCCTAACTTTTGCTTCCCCCAATATTATTTTGACTTCCATCAAATACGATTTGCAAAACAGTGTGTCGTTTAGTCTGATTAAACGACATGGAAAAACAATTCATTCTGTTTTCTATACAAATAAAATGCTGTATTTTATACTATGTTAAAACATTAACAAATGACACATCATTGATACACACGTGGGCAGTATTGCGGGTTGACCACGAGGTAAGGGTTTGATTTGCATTTTTTTGAAGTGGAGGGTAGTTTTGCAAAATTAGTTCAGGTGACAGGTTAAATTACAGAAAGTCCAAAAAGAAATATAATACTCATCTATATTACAAAAATATTTTTTTATATGAATAATATATACAAAATTTACAAAGCAAATCCTGAAGCGTAGCGCGGATAAATATATAGTATTAAGTAAATCACGTAACTCTTGCCACATAGGTATCAGGTATGTGAGATCCAATTTATACCAGTTATTAAAGCTTAATAATAATATCATCCAACAACATCCAATATGGTCCAAGTTTATAAGTGGATCGAAGTAAATCTTAAAACAATGTTAATGTCAATATCGTATGGGCAATTTATTAGATCAGATCGAGAGAGAAACAAGTTTAGAGACATGTGAAACAAATTTTATTAGGATAAAATGGTTAGGAAGAACTAGAAAAGACCTCTAAACCTTAATCAAGCAAATTATGGTTGCTGGTTAATTTTTTAAAACTCGAATGTACATGATGAAGAATCTTCTAAGTCTTTTTTGCCGTATTGATATCTCATACATTTGCATCATTTAGGCTTCCATTTAGTTCATAGTTTAGTCTCTTTTTGCATGTTTTCTTTTTCTTTAGTCCTATTTTCTTCTCTTTTTAGACTTAGATTGCATTTAGGTTGTAGTTTGCATTCTCTATACATTATGGATGTTTTTAAGTACTTTGGAGGCAATTGGGAGCAAGGAGGAAGTGTGGAAATGGATCAAGGAGCTAGCCAAGCTGAGAAGGAGCAAAAGGAGCTAAGGAAGGCATTTTCCCGAACACTATCGGTCAGAGCAAAAGACCCATCGGTCAAGGAGTGACTGATGAGATTGCATTGAATTGGCCATCGATCACCCCATCGGTCAAGGAGTGACCGATAGGAAGGCAGCGCTTGGACCATCGATCACCTCATCGGTCTGGAAGTGACTGATGGCTTTGCAGCGGATCGACCATCGATGTGAACCAGCCCGAACCTGCTTTTATTTATGCTTTTGCCATTAATCTAGAGCATTTGGCCTTTTAGTATAAATAGCTTGTTCTGAGATTTTTTTCAACAAGTTTTGTTCTTCCTTAAGTTTTCTTGTTTTCTTTTGAGTTTGTAAGAACAATTCTATCTTTTTAATCAAAGTTTGTATTCTTCTCTAATCTTATTCCTAATCATGTTTATCGTTTTCTCCCTTTGTGTTTTGATGGTTTCATTGATTATGAGTGAGTAAACACATTATAGTTCTTAGATATGGTAGATTAGGGGAATTTAGAGGCTTGAATAGGGTTGTTAGTGCTTAATTAGATTAGTTACTCTCAATTAATCTGTTCTTAAGGCTAGATTTAGCTTGATCTCTTGAATCTAGAATTAGGCTTTCATTTTATGCCCAACAAGTGTTTAATAAAATGCTAATCTTGTTTAATAGAGGATTTACTGGCCTTGGCTCAAGAGATTGACTGTTTTAGGAGCATTTTGGCTTAGATAGAGTTGATTATTCATGCTTGTTGATTGATCTAGCACTAATGAGAATTAGTTCTTGTTAGATTGATTAGTAAAGGGTGATTTGCCAAGACATTGTATCTATCTAGCTTGATTGGGAACTCTATGTCTAGGAACTAGCTTTGACTACTTGTTTGTATGATCATTGAGTTTGACAACAACCCAAGCCTTGCCTTTGAATTCCCCTACATCAATAACCATATTTAGGATCATTCTTAGAGTTATTTGAATTCCGAACTTGCCATACTTCTCTGTTTATTGCTCTCTTTTTCTAGTAAATCATTGCTTAGTTGTGTTCTTTCTTGAATGCTGTTTGGTGATTGATCATTAGGTTGTTAGCTAATTGCTTTGAAACACAAACTTCTTTGTTTCACTTGACTTAAGTAAAGGTGTATTTCATAGATTTTAAAACAGACTTATATAATATATATAATATATAGGGGATTTTCTCCACTAAATTGCCATTTGATCTTTCTTTGTAATTATGTAAAGCAAAATACCATTTTAAAAATAAAATATTAATTAATATAATTATTTTGAATTATAAAATTTATTCATTTATAAAATATTTATTATAAATATATGTTTCTAAAACTATCAAACTATAACCAATAACATTCATATCAAAATCATTGTTATTGCTTCAGGACTAAATAGAATATTCTGTTTGAAATATCAATTTAATTGAGGTTCTCCCAAAGAGTTTTCCTCTCATCATCTAGATTAAAAACATAGATGAAAGAACAGAAGAATTCCTCTTATCTTCCTTCCAGAAGTACTGAAACTGTGATCATCTGAGCACTTTTAAACACTGGCGTCAATCTAACTCATTCTCTCCAAACCACCCAGATTCTGCCTAGAAGACTGAATTCATAGTTTCTTAATAAGGACCAATTTTGAAAAACTGAGTGAGATATTTGCTGCGACTTGTCTTCCTTGACTCTCGTCTCTAACAAGCACCCAAACTGAAAAGTATTATTTTGTAGCCATTGCTTTACTAAAAAGTGTTTTTCTGGCTTGTTAAACCCCCGTATATTCCAAAAGAAACCAGACATTAAAAGTGATTATGGTGCAAGCATTCCTACTCGAAGTACCTGGAAGGGCTTCCTTAGTACTATGAGCAACATCACCCGTCAAGAACTTATGTGCTGATTTGGATTCACGTTGTAGCAGAACACGGGTTTGAGTTACCTTCCCCGATTTCTTCTTACTCTGTTTTGTCATCTTTTGGGTTATTTACTCAAGTCCTTCATCAGAAACTTTAGTGTCACTTGATTCTTTTCCTTCAGTGGTCTCCTCAACCTCTATTCAAGGTTGGTTTTCTTCTACTTCAAGAATAGCGAAGCGGGAAGGAGATGACATATCGTGATCCGGGATACCCTGTTTTTCTCTTTGTTTCCAAATTTTAGATGGAGAAACATGTGTCCATGGAGCATCATCCTTGGTTTCAGTGACTTGTGCTTCCCCAACAGTCTCTTGAGAATCTACAATTTAACCAAGCTCTATTTCAGTTTCATCTGAGTGTAAGATTGTATTCTTTACTTCATTGGCTTCATGGTTGAGTGTCGCAGGGGCATACAGATTTTCCCCTGTTTTATCAGATCCCAGAAGTTGTTGGGTTCGTTTACCGTCTGATATAATCTCTTTGTTCTGAGCGGTCTTTAACCCTGAACCTTTTTTCACTCGAGCTGATTTAGTCTGATTAGCCGGAGCCTGAGTTGTAGTGTTGGTTTGTCGGAAACGACACTCCTCACGTACATGTCCCCATTTCGAGCAGGAATCACAACGTGGTGGTAACCATGGATAAACATGTTCAACAACTGCATCGATGTTTTTATCCTGTGATTTGAATCGAAAAGCCTTTAGCAGCTCCTTTGACAGATCGACTTCGACAAATACTCTAGCCTCGTCAAAATTCTTACACTGTTCTGTGTCAGGATGAAGTCTTTTCGGATCCCCAACTGGATCGATAAGAATCCCAAGCCATCCCACGAAAACATTTTCCTTGGAAAATTTTTCAAGATCACCCACATAGGCAGCGTTTTTTACTCTGGTTGTGCCTCTTCTGCCACCGGTGACCATTTGAAGACAATCATCGGTACATCTTCTATGTTCCACATACCACATCGCAGTATTCTCGCTCTCAATGAGCTATTCTTTATCTGAAATTTTATCGTATTTGCATTTACCACAAACACGTCAACTCTGATTTCCTTGTTTTCCGATGACCAAATTGTATTGACTATGACATGGATTTTGGCTACATGTGGAGCAGTCGGTAAAAATTTTCCTACAAGGAAATCTTTCCACAATGGAATTGAATAATCAATGAGACGATATTTTATTTCCACATATGCAAAGCCCTCCAACTCACCAACCGTGAAAACGTGCTTTGATAGATCTGGTTTGTTTTGTACGATCGCTGACCAGGTTTTCACCCCACGTTGTTTGGTATCTATATAGGTGCATTTTCATAATTTGGCTCTTGCTGTCTAGAAGCTTCTTGTGAAGATGAGGCAGTATCAAACCAATTTTTACGTGGTCTTCCTGGTTTTCGCTTTGGAAGAGCTTGTGAAATGCTTGAAGCGCGTTCAGACTGTTGTCTTCGAGGACGTTCAATAGGTTGACTTCGAACTTGAGAAGGTAAACTTTCACCTTGAGATGCAACAACTTGCGATGATGTTGTACTCTCTATTAGAATTTGGATTCTTCCTTGGCCGCCCGCGTGGGTTTTTTTGTTATTGGCACAAAATTGTTTAAGCAGTTGCTTCTATTATGCCCTTCTTGTCCACAATTCCAACAATGCTATGGACAACAAAACAGAAACCAAGTATCAATCTCTTGTAACAAGGAAACAGAGAGAGAGAAGGGGAGAGATAGAATGACATTACCATTCTAAGTCCCACTTTGCACATTTTCCCCTTCTCTCTAGCTTTACCCTTTTCTCTCTTTCTCTTCTTACCTGGTGGGCGCCTTGGAGGCTTCTTATATGGAGGTGGCTTAACTCGCTCAGAAGTTGTTATCTCCCACAGGTTCATGCCATTCACGGGTTCCATTGGAGTATCATAACACTTGCGTAGCTTCTCCACTGTAAACCAATCCGAAATCAATGTTTTTGGATCGTGATCAACATTCCTCTCTAGCCGAAGTGCAGAGACAATGTGGCAGCAAGGAATACCACTTATAATGTACATTCTGCATGCACAATTCACCTCTCCTTTTAAGTGGACTACAAACTGGTCAGTGAAGTAGCCAACTTTGTATTTACCCAATCCACCTGGCAAAGGACTGCAATTCTTTACAAGTTCTATTTGTTGATCCAACAATGCTCTTATCTAGGAGTGTAAATTCTCTTTGCTTTCTCGGATTCTTTTCTTTTCTTCTCATTGTTAACCACCACACGTCTTCTAATCTATTCAAGCATTTCCACAATTGGTTTGGTTCTTTCCATACGGATTGCTGCATTGAATGACTTTCCCAAGTTGTTTTCTACAGCAGCACACTTGGAGAATTCGGTGAAATAAGCCCTTTCTTAGAAACCAGAGATAATGTTATAAACCAGAAATAAAAGATACTTAAATCATAAAAAACATACCTAGACCAAGCGCACGAATGGTTTATCTCCAAATCATCAAATGCTTTTTGCGAAATGTTCTTCAAGGCCTGCATTTTCCTATAAAATTCCGCCATATAATATGCATATGCAGCACCCCAAAACAAATCATCATACTCTGCTCCACTATGTAACTTCTTCCAGTTTTGATGAACATGGCGTGCACACAGCCTATGTTCGGCATAAGGAACAACCAAATTAACTGCTCCTATCAGCCCCTTGCATTGATCACTACACAGCGTCAAACCATTTAATGTTCCTAATCCTAAGTCGTGAACCAGATGTTCCAAGAACCAAATCCAGTGCTCTTTAGTTTCACCATCCACAATGCCACAAGCAAAAGGAAACATCTGATCATTTGGATCTCTTCCACAAATAACTAGCAAAAATCCTGTCATTCTCCACTTCAGAAAAGTACCATCAATGAGGATGATTTTTCGACTAGTGCTCGTCCATGCATCTTTCAAAGCTTTAAAACAGACATAAAATCTATGAAAGACACCTTGCCTCACCTCACATTCTACACTTGAACCCGGATTTGATCTTTTTATTTCAGCAACATAATCATGTAGCCTTGCAAAGGACTCGGCATGTTCATCATCAAAAGTCTGTAAGCACTTAGGCCTTGTCTTCTCACAGATAGTCCAAGGCACATTGATGTTCCGCTTTGACAATTTTATTTGCAGTTGATCAGCAAAAAAGTGCGGATTCTCTCTAAACTCTTTGATATATCTCTCTGCTATGCGTGTGTTAGTAAGCAGAGATAAACTTTACCTTGCCATGTACAGTTATGCTCAGCTTGTACAGATCTTACCACAACCCTGCTGCCAGTGCTGTTAATCGATGCACAAATCCTCCAAAGACACGTTCTTCTACAGCAAACGGCAACAACTCTTTTGCTATCCGTCTTGAAGTAAGATATGTCATACTTCTTCTTCACTGCATACTTTGTAACTACACTCTTGAAAGATTGAATTGTTGAGTAACACTGCCCAAGCTCAAACTTCTTATACTTGCGCTCATCAATGGTGTTACGACCACCATCGTCACTGTCACTATTTGCGTTCTCTTGTAGCTGTATCTCAGCCTCATTGCCATCCTCATTCTGGGCTTCAATAACCCAAGCATCATTACTATCGTTACTTTCATCTGAACTGCTGTCACTGCCATTGCTATTATCATCATGATTATTATCACTATCGTTAATAGTAGTATCTTCTTCCTCAAAAGGTGACACACGATTACCATCACTACTCCGAATCATCAAATACGGATCATCTTCCCAAACAATAAATAGTGTTAAAGCACATGTTCCAACAGCATAAGAAACCACTTTTCCTAAGCTCTCATTGTCATCGATGTCTACTCTCTTCCCACTCTGATCTTCTAGTGGAAACCAAGATATTTTCTTCATGTTATCTTCATATCCCATGCTTTGAACTTCTAACGTCTCAATATGCTTCAAACTAAAACCATCGGCCAAAATCTTACCTACGGCCTAGTTTCTCCACCAATGTAGGAGCCGTTTCAGGACCAATACCCACCAATATGACAGAAGAGATCGAAGCTGCAAAATTTGCAGAAAACCTAACATTATAACAATTGCAAACAACAAAAGCTATAATGCATATGTAAGTCACTCAAAATTACAATATTGAAATTATTATATTACCTCATCTTCACGTCTTCTCGATATCAACTGGAATCCCCTCAGTTGTCTAAAAAGGTCGACGAAACTTCTCAAACCCAAAACTCACAAAATCTTGAAACTCTTCAAACCCCACAGAATCCCAAAATGATACCAAACTCCTAAAATCTACTTTAGTCGAGCTCTATGCCTATCTTAATAACCATTTTACCACTCCCCTGATAAAAATTCTTCTATTTCTTGATGAACCCTAACTTTTGCTTCCCCCAATATTATTTTGACTTCCATCAAATACTATTTGCAAAACAGTGTGTCGTTTAGTCTGATTAAACGACATGGAAAAACAATTCATTCCGTTTTCTATACAAATAAAATGCTATATTTTGTATTATGTTAAAACATTAACAAATGACACATCATCGATACACATGTGGGCAGTATTGCGGGTTGACGTCGAGGTAAGGGTTTGATTTGCATTTTTTTGAAGTGGAGGGTAGTTTTGCAAAAATAGTTCAGGTGACAGGTTAAATTACAGAAAATCCAAAAAGAAATATAATACTCATCTACATTACAAAAATATTTTTTTTATATGAATAATATATACAAAATTTACAAAACAAATCCTGCAGCGTAGCACGAATAAATATATAGTATTAAGTAAATCACGTAACTCTTGCCACATAGGTATCAGGTATGTGAGATCCAATTTACACCAGTTATTAAAGCTTAATAGTAATATCATCCAACAACATCCAATATGGTCCAAGTTTATAAGTGGATCAAAGTAAATCTTAAAACAATGTTAATGTCAATGTCGTATGGGCAATTTATTAGATCACATCGAGAGAGAAACAAGTTTAGAGACATGTGAAACAAATTTTATTAGGATAAAATGGATAGGAAGAACTAGAAAAGACCTCTAAACCTTAATCAAGCAAATTATGGTTGCTGGTTAATTTTTTAAAACTCGAATGTACATGATGAAGAATCTTCTAAGTCTTTTTTGCCGTATTGATATCTCATACATTTGCATCATTTAGGCTTGAATTTAGTTCATATTTTAGTCTCTTTTTGCATGTTTTCTTTTTCTTTAGTCCTATTTTCTTCTCTTTTCAGACTTAGGTTGCATTTAGGTTGTAGTTTGCATTCTCTATACATTATGGATGTTTTTAAGTACTTTGGAGGCAATTGGGAGCAAGGAGGAAATGTGGAAATGGATCAAGGAGCTAGCCAAGCTGAGAAGGAGCAAAATGAGCTAAGGAAGGCATTTTCTGGAACACTATCGGTCAGAGCACAAGACCCATCGGTCAAGGAGTGACTGATGGGATTGCATTGAATTGGCCATCGATCACCCCATCGGTCAAGTAGTGACCGATGGGAAGGCAGCGCCCATACCATCGATCACCCCATCAGTCAAGGAGTGACCGATGGGAAGGCAGCGCTTGGACCATCGATCACCTCATCGGTCTGGAAGTGACTGATGGCTTTGCAGCAGATCGACCATCGATTCAGTCCAGACCGATGTGAACCAGCCCAAACTTGCTTTTATTTACACTTTTGCCATTAATCTAGAGCATTTGGCCTTTTAGTATAAATAGCTTGTTCTGAGATTTTTTTCAACAAGTTTTGTTCTTCCTTAAGTTTTCTTGTTTTCTTTTGAGTTTGTAAGAACAATTCTATCTTTTTAATCAAAGTTTGTACTTCCCTTTATAATTTCTTCTCTAATCTTATTCCTAATCATGTTTATCGTCTTCTCCCTTTGTGTTTTGATGGTTTCATTGATTATGAGTGAGTAAACACATTAGAGTTCTTAGATATGGTAGATTAGAGGAATTTAGAGGCTTGATTATGGTTGTTAGTGCTTAATTAGATTAGTTCCTCTCAATTAATCTGTTCTTAAGGCTACATTTAGCTTGATCTCTTGAATCTAGAATTAGGCTTTCATTTTATGCCCACCAAGTGTTTAATGAAATGCTAATCTTGTTTAATAGAGGATTTACTGGCCTTGGCTCAAGAGATTGACTGTTTTAGGAGCATTTTGGCTTAGATAGAGTTGATTATTCATGCTTGTTGATTGATCTAGCACTAATGAGAATTAGTTCTTGTTAGATTGATTAGTAAAGGGTGATTTGCCAAGAGATTGTATCTATCTAGCTTGATTGGGAACTCTATGTCTAGGAACTAGCTTTGACTACTTGTTTGTATGATCATTGAGTTTGACAACAACCCAAGCCTTGCCTTTGAATTCCCCTACATCAATAACCATATTTAGGATCATTCTTAGAGTTATGTGAATTTCGAACTTGCCATATTGCTCTGTTTATTGCTCTCTTTTTCTAGTAAATCATTGCTTAGTTGTGTTCTTTCTTGAATGCTGTTTGGTGATTGATCATTAGGTTGTTAGCTAATTGCTTTGCAACACAAACTTCTTTGTTTCACTTGACTTAGAGATATCTGCTTTTAATTCTATTTCTTCCAACAAAACTCTCTTGGATTGACATTAAGAACCAATGTTATACTACAACTGACTAGTACAAGCTTAGTGATTGACCACAAAAACCTAATAAACTCTTGTATCACGTATATAGTTGTAAATTTTGTTAATAGCAAGCTCGACAATACCTGTAAACCTATATCTCTCTCAGTGTATCCTTCTCCTCAAATCCAGCTACAAAATAACAATATAAGAGCTCATATCAGAATTGAATGAATAGATGGTTGTGACCAAATCTATAATTTACAGATTTTGCATGAACAAAAGGAGATATAATTGGTCGGTAATTGTTGGTCAGAAATAAAATATGGTCAGAAAATGGATGAAAATTTTTGGACAAAAAAATACTCAGAAATGTTAGTCAAAAACTGGTCAGTTTACTGTCAAAAGGTTTGATCGAAATTTGGTTAAAAATGGTCGGAAAATGTTTAAGATTTCTGACCAATTTCTGACAAAAAAATCTGAACCAAATATATATATATTTAAATACATAAATACTCTATTAATTTCAAAACATTACCATTTAAAGAATTGTGATATTATTTGAATTCTAATAAAAATATGAAATAGAACTAATATTTTATGAAACTTAAAATTTCATACAAAATGTACAAATACTACAACATTAAAAGTACAATTAAAAGAACCTTGGATGGTGGAGGTAGTGGAAGAGGGATGCCCGCAAATTGTTTCAAGAGCAGTTGTGTGTTGTTAAAATATGTGAACTTGATATCCTGTTCGGCCTGCTGCATCGTCTGTTGTTCTTGCTCTCTCTCTCCATCATCACCAATCACCATCTTTGTTTCTTGCTCCTCATCCCTTTTGTTCAGCTCATCAATCTGAATATTTGCTGCCCACAACTCATCAATCACTCCTTGGGTAGAGGAATCTACGGAAAAGCTTAAAGAGCCATTGTTTAATAAAATCTGGAATCCCAAGCGGCGACAGTTAATAACTCCAACTTCCTAAAATATAAACGTTAAGATAGCTCAGTAATTTCATAGTTGTGCTTCAGCTGTGAGAGCATATAAAAATCACCTAAGTATATGAAGATCTAATTACCATTAAAAGAAGATATGTAAATTACAGAATCTGAGAGTGAGCTAGCAGGGACCGTTGTAACATATTGTGGTAATTAGTGATACAAGTAGTGTTGCTTTTTGTGGGTCTTTTCCCACATTGTTTGTAGCTATTTGCAGCAAAATTATCAATTTTTTTGTGATAAACTTGTAACTATTTTGCGATGACAACTTTGTGATAATTTGTCACGAAATGTTTGTAACTTTTTGTGTTAAACAGTCACAAAATCTTGTAACAAAATTGTAACAAATTTGCTACAATATTTGTAGTAGCTAATTTTCTTCAATTTGCGTTAAAAAAGTTTGTGACTAATTTGTGGTGAATTTACTACACTTAGCTACAAAAAAACAACATTACTACTACCACATAGTTTCAAAAAAAATTTGAAGCAATTTGTAGCTAAACGATTTTTGGTAAAAAATTATAGCTACAAAAAATTATGTAGCTATGTTACCTTGTTCTTGTTGTGTCCAAAGTTGTTTACATCAGTAAACAGTACTTGTGAATTCATGGCGTGTGGTACTGTCTCTAGACAAGCCCTATATATGTTCGATCTCAAGTGTACTCTTTGCTGCCGAGAAAAAAGTTGGTATACAAACGAATAGCATAATCACACCCACATTTACTTAACATTAAAAAAAAATTGATATGTTTGAACTTATCGAAGCTTGGTATGTAAACAAATAGCACAATCCTTTCTCATCTCTCCCTCTCTCGTGATAGATCTTCAGACATATCTGTCATGAACACTAGTAGAAAACAAAGTATGTAAGAGTTAAACATTGAACTAATTAATCTAAATAAGGCTACTAATTCAATATAAACAGGAGAAAATCAAGGGGAATCATAAACGAAATATACACAAGATCTCTAATATGATTTCCAGAACCGACAAGAAATGGTAAAATCAAAAGCTTACCTATGGGTTTTGTCGCCGGAGTTGGTGGTGAGTATAATACGGTGGTCTGAGTTGGATTGGATTTAAACGATTGGACTGATCGGGAAATCGTTGTTTCGTTGGAATGTCGTTATGTTGAGGTGGTGATAAAAAACGACATTTGAGAGATGAGAAAAGAGAATGGATCGGCGGAAAAGTTGTTACATCGGAGGTGGTGATGAGAAATGTTGATTTTCATCGGAGGTGAATTGTTGTTTCACCGGATATTTTTGTCCACTAAATTGGTGATGAGAAAAATTTATCCGGAATAATATTTTTCTAAATTTTGTATATATTTTTAATATAATAAAATTATTTTTATAATATATATAAGTATTATATTTATTTTTTATTAACTTAATTTATGTATTTATATATTTTAAATCAGAATAAACATTGTATATCATTAATTTTTTTAGTTTTCAAAATTATAGTTTGTTAGCTAACTAACTATAAATGTATATGTAAAAATAAAACAATACATTTTTAAGTATCTTCATTCTAATGTTATATATAATTTACTAGGTAATAACATGCACCATGTGCAGGATGAAATAATTATTATTTATTTAATATAATATAATTTTAAAATTATATAAAAAAATACAATTGGTTTTATATGAGTTGTTTATAACATTATGCTGTAATATTGAAAAATTTTTTTTTTTGTTTATGTTATGAATTTTAGGGTAATTAATTCTAATATAAATTAGTTTAAAAATTAAATATATATTCACAATCTGGATAGAAATAAGAAGTCCCTCTTTATACTTTCTATAAACTATGATTAATAACATGATCTTAAAATTAAAAAAAAAATAGAGAGAGTATATTTTGATTAAATTATTAAGTATCTAATAAAAAAAATTATTATTTTCTCTGTTTCATAATATTAATTTTTTTTAAGATTTTGTTTTGTTTTACAATATATTTGTTTTTTATATTTTTTACTACTTCCAATGAATACTATGTGACCAATTATATTTTTCAATTTTTCATAATTAGTTGAATTATATTTAATTTATATACTAAATGATTACTTTTTTAAAAGAAAAGTTGCTTTTTAATCTGTGTGCTTTAATACAAAATAACTTATATTTTGAAATAGAGAATATTAAAATTGTAAAACTAAAATTTGATTTTAAAATTTTATAATCGACTTTAATATTTTTAATACGAATGTAAATGCATATTTAGATTAACCCGCAAAAATTATAATCATAAGAATATTAACTTTTAAGAAAAGAAGATTACTGTAAAATTTGTTTTAAATACTAAATATACATAAGGATTATATAAAAATAAATTATCTTTTTATTATTTTTAATAAATTATCTAAAATTGTATATAACTGAGGCAATGCTTATCCATTCTTAAATTTTTGATTTAATAAAAATATTTTTAATATCAAAAAGTTTAATTAAATTATTATATAATATCCTTACAAAAATATTTTAATTTTTTACCAAGTTATTTTGTTGTATAAATTAAAAATAATAATATTTATTAAATTAAGCTTCCTGTTTTTTTTTTATCATTTATGTATATTTTTATATTGATTTATGAATCATCTATCTATACATCTTTATTTTCAATTTTAGTCTTTTAAAACATACTTTTATTTATTAATCATTTAAGTAATTTATATTTTTTTATGAAATTTGAATTATAACACAGAAAAATATATATATATATATATATATTTTTTTTTTTACTATATGAATGATGTGATAATTTATTTTTCTCTAAAAATAAGAGATAAAATATAGTATTTAAAGAAATAATTAATATGATATATTTTTGGTATAAAATGGGAAAAGAGAATATCTTGATGAATCATCATCAATATAATTGATATAAACTAATGTATAACCAAATTAATGTGAGTGGTATAACATGTAATTAATCTAGTAACATAAGTTTATTTATATAACTTTGCTGAAAATGATTCTGGTGATGACACATCAGCAAAATGGCACCACAGTAATATTTTACAAAATTAAGGTTATTCTTTAAAAATACTTTTTTTTTAATATATATGGGATTTTCTCCACTAAATTGCCATTTGATCTTCCTTTGTAATTATGTAAAGCAAAATGCCATTTTAAAAATAAAATATTAATTAATATAATTATTTTGAATTATAAAATTTATTCATTTATCAAATATTTATTATAAACATATGTTTCTAAAACTATCAAACTATAACCAATAACATTCATATCAAAATCATTGTTATTGCTTTAGAACTAAATAGAAAATTTTGTTTGTAATATCAATTTAGTTGAGGTTCTCCCAAAGAGTTTTCCTCTCATCATCTAGATTAAAAACATAGATAAAAGAACAGAAGAATTCCTCTTATCTTCCTTCCAGAAGTACTGAAAATGTGATCATCTGAGCACTTTTAAACATTGGCGTCAATCTTACTCATTCTCTCCAAACCACCCAGATTCTGCCCAGAAGACTGAATTCATAGTTTCTCAATAAGGACCAATTTTGAAAAACTGAGTGAGATATTTGCTGCGACTTGTCTTCCTTGACTCTCGTCTCTAACAAGCACCCAAACTGAAAAGTATTATTTTGTAGTCATTGCTTTACTAAGAAGTGTTTTTCTGGCTTGTTAAACCCTGTATATTCCAAAAGAAACCAGACATTAAAAGTGATTATTGGTGCGAGCATTCCTACTCGAAGTACCTGGAAGGGCTTTCTTAGTACTATGAGCAATATTACCCGTCAAGAACTTATGTGCTGATTTGGATTCACGTTGTAGCAGAACACGGGTTTGAGTTACCTTCCCCGATTTCTTCTTACTCTGTTTTGTCATCTTTTGGGTTTTTTACTCAGGTCCTTCATCAGAAACTTTAGTGTCACTTGATTCTTTTCCTTCAGTGGTCTCCTCAACCTATATTCAAGGTTGGTTTTCTTCTACTTCAAGAATAGCAAAGCGGGAGGGAGATGACATATCGTGATCCGGGATACCCTGTTTTTCTCTTTGTTTCCAAATTTTAGATGGAGAAACATGTGTCCATGGAGCATCATCCTTGGTTTCAGTGACTTGTGCTTCCCCAACAGTCTCTTGAGAATCTACAATTTCACCAAGCTCTATTTCAGTTTCATCTGAGTGTAAGATTGTATCCTTTACTTCATTGGCTTCATGGTTGAGTGTCGCAGGGGCATACATATTTTCCCTTGTTTTATCAGATCCCGGAACTTGTTGGGTTTGTTTACCGTCTGATATAATCTCTTTGTTCTGAGCGGTCTTTACCCCTGAACCTTTTTTCACTCGAGCTGATTTAGTCTGATTAGCCAGAGCCTGAGTTGTAGTGTTGGTTTGTCGGAAACGACACTCCTCACGTACATATCCCCATTTCGAGCAGGAATCACAACGTGGTGGTAACCATGGATAAACATGTTCAACAACTGCATTGATGTTTTTATCCTGTGATTTGAATCGAAAAGCCTTTAGCAGCTCCTTTGACAGATCGACTTCGACAGATACTCTAGCCTCGTCAAAATTCTTACACTGTTCTGTGTCAGGATGAAGTCTTTTCGGATCCCCAACTGAATCGATAAGAATCCCAAGCCATCCCACGAAAATATTCTCCTTGGAACATTTTTCAAGATCACCCACATAGGCAGCGTTTTTTACTCTAGTTGTGCCTCTTCTGCCACCGGTGACCATTTGGAGACAATCATCGGTACATCTGCTATGTTCCACATACCACATCGTAGTATTCTCGCTCTCAATGAGCTATTCTTTATCTGAAATTTTACCGCATTTGCATTTACCACAAACACGTCAACTCTGATTTCCTTGTTTTCCAATGGCCAAATTGTATTGACTATGACATGGATTTTGGCTACATGTGGAGCAGTCTAAAATTTTCCTACAAGGAAATCTTTCCACAATGGAATTGAATAATCAATGAGACGATATGGTAATTCCACATATGGAGAGCCCTCCAACTCACCAACCGTGAAAACGTGCTTTGATAGATCTGGTTTGTTTTGTACGATCGCTGACCAGGTTTTCACCCCCACGTTGTTGGTTTGAGTTTGGAATCCCCACCGCATTTGCATTTACCACAAACACGTCAACTCTGATTTCCTTGTTTTCCAATGGCCAAATTGTATTGACTATGACATGGATTTTGGCTACATGTGGAGCAGTCGATAAAAATTTTCCTACAAGGAAATCTTTCCACAATGGAATTGAATAATCAATGAGACGATATGGTAATTCCACATATGGAGAGCCCTCCAACTCACCAACCGTGAAAACGTGCTTTGATAGATCTGGTTTGTTTTGTACGATCGCTGACCAGGTTTTCACCCCCCCCGACGGTCGGTGCGTTATTTTTCCTGGAGCCCAACCGACTCATTTACTGACCCTGTAATCACCACATGATCTTTTTCCGTGTTTTGGCCTCACTCACACGGTTTCAGGAATCACTTCCCGAAAGGTCACCCATCCTAGTCCTACTCCAGCATAAGCACCCTTAACTGTGGAGTTCTTTCGGGACCTGTGACCGAAAAGATAAGTGCACTTTGATGATATGGTAATTCCACATATGGAGAGCCCTCCAACTCACCAACCGTGAAAACGTGCTTTGATAGATCTGGTTTGTTTTGTACGATCGCTGACCAGGTTTTCACCCCCCCCCCCGACGGTCGGTGCGTTATTTTTCCTGGAGCCCAACCGACTCATTTACTGACCCTGTAATCACCACATGATCTTTTTCCGTGTTTTGGCCTCACTCACACGGTTTCAGGAATCACTTCCCGAAAGGTCACCCATCCTAGTCCTACTCCAGTATAAGCACCCTTAACTGTGGAATTCTTTCGGGACCTGTGACCGAAAAGATAAGTGCACTTTGATGATATAGGTAGCCAAATCAATCCATTTAAACTTATTCAAATGGGTCGGGTCCGGGTCGTTACACTCTTTCTCTGACGTGCACATCAGAATACCAGCCGGTGGCTGTCTCTGGTTGTTGTCTCTGATTGTTGCCTCTCGAGGAAGCAAAAGAATATCCTAGAATCGCCTTTGAATCGCCCTTGCCATGTCAACTTTGTTTTCTCTTCCCTTTCCTTTTTTATCTGACAATCTATACTATCAAAAATGAATCACTAATTTAAATAAACATTTCCTACTTTCTTATTTATATCATTTGCCATTAGATTCAAAAATTTAATTATTCTATTAAAGGTAAAATGTCATAATAACGTAAGAATGCATTCGTTAATCACAGCACGGTCCCGACTAATTCTCGCAAGGCCTTGACCGTCATAGAAAAAGAAATAAACATTAATAGCAGTTCATCGAAATGTTGTCGTATTAAATGAACAAGGATCATGCAAGGGAATCCTTGCAACCAAATGAACAATCAACGCTTGGTCTGTGTCATGAAAATGGTTTTATGTTAATGTATTTTGATCAAGATCATAAAAAAAAAACAAAACCAAATTCACGCTGAAGTAGAAGAGCCAAAGCAATAGAGATAGTTTCCATTATAGTTTTAATGCAAGCTTTAGCTGTTGGAAAGATGAATCTTCTCTTTAATTTACATTCCCGCCAAAACTAACCGGTATGTAGAGAGAAACAGTTTTAGAGGCCTAGAGTGCAATAAGCTTAGCTAAATTTCAGGAGCTCCAAAATTGGGATTGGGTTGTTCAACGTTTTTCTTCTATGATCCTATTTCTACATTCAGGTAAAACAAAACCAATATTTTCTTCAAAAAAAAAAGAAACAATTTCCATTAATTTTGGTTTTGCTTCTACTCCACGACCTCTTCTTCTTTCTTTCAAAGGTTCCCAGTTCACTCAATTTGAGAACGTGAAAAAATGGTTTCATAATTTCATGATCAATGCTTTAGCTAAACAAAATCATTTAATCTCTTTTTCTTGCGATGTACGTTACCTAACCTAATTTACATGTTTCTTTCGTCCACGATTGGTAACAGACTCTCAAGAGGACCTGTAAAAGAGAAAGCAGCTCTGAATCTAACGAGTGCTCACATTCTAACTTACCTAGCCACAATTTCTTACCTAAGGAGCTTGATGTCCACGAAAGGAAGACCGATGAATACGATCTCCACATATCTTAGTCGACTAACTAATAGATAGTTTTATTAATATCTGATGGATCTTGTCTTGTGCAGACAAGAAGAAAAGCCAACGCCACGGTTTCTGTATGTCTTGCGTCGCCTAGGACTAGATAACCGCCATGGTTTGAAGACGCTAAACAAAGGTTGCACACTCTTCCGACTCTTTCTAGCCTTTTTAGGTTTAGTTTTAAACCTCCGATTGAAACCAAGGAAATGGAGGCATCCCGTCTTCTCATCAAAGCTTCTTCTCACCTTAGCTATTCGATCAACATGCTTACCCACTCGAGCGTTGCTCGGGTCCATGTAACTTATGTAGAATGTTGCATTCTTAGCCTTGAGTCCCGCGTTCGGATCTTGGGTCGATTCTATAGCCACTTTCCTAATCTTCAACTTGGAAAGATCATCATTATTACTGAACATCGTACGATCCGTGGCAACCGCAAGTTCCAAGTATAGACGAATCATTGATTCATTGGCCTCGTCTTGCAGCTCTGACTTCTTCACCTATCAAAAACAAACAAGCTATACATTATTAGTGCCACTAGTTGATCAGTAATGAGCGAAAGAAAGACTCCGAAAAGTGTATCTTAATCCTTACCACGTAAAACCTCTTTGTATCTTTGAAATAATTCTCCGACGGCCACTCAGGAAACTTATAATCAAAGGAGCATTCACTAAATGTGCCGAACAAGGGATCCTCATGGGGATCATCTATACAAGATTAAATCAGAAATTAAGTGACACGGTTTAGTATATTCTAATTTTACAAGATGGTTAAGGCTTTGAATTTTTCAAATTTTATTTTCTAAAACAAAACATCATTTACTGTTTAAATGAACACAAATCCACCAATATAAGCAGTCACAAAGCAAGAAAGGTTAACTAATTTTGCATAGATTATTAAGAATCGCTATATTTGAAACAAAAAAAAAAAGTATACGTGAAGCATAATTAATACAACACATGTCGCATATGTTACCTCGAGGTACAGAGATACAGCACATCAAGGCTATAACGCCCCAAACTACTTCTGATATTTGAATCAGAAAATACTGAGGCAAAGGGTCAGACGGATTCATTGCAACCAACGTTATGTAGTAGGAGGCAGCACCGAGATTTGCTGTGCGATTGTATTTCTCTACTCGACAAAACTGATAGTTTTTCCCCTAGAATGAAGAAAGAGATTAAAAATGTAACGGTGGATGAAGAAAGCAACAAGAGGATGGAGAGACTAACTTTCTAATGATTAATTAATACCTCAACGAAATTGTAACGATGAAGGCCCATCTTAGCGTAAAGGATGACTACCGCACGGCAAGAGGACCGATCATTACAGACCTCTTTCCTCAGGCGTTCATATCCCTTGGCATCGAAACCCTACAAGGCCCATTAAAATATTAGTCGAGAATGAAAATTGTTGAAGTTTTCGATTAATAACAAAATAAGTGAGCGGTCAAATCCCAGCTTAAGATTCAGGGTTTAGGGTTGTGACTCTGAAAAGAAGGAATTACATCGAATTTTCTATCGGGTCCTCGACGAGGTCTCAACCTCCAACGTAAATACTCCAACGCTCCCATCACCATCGTCAAGACTGTGCTTCGAAATTCCCGCCGGAGCGAGCGGCTGGGATATGCTTTGTGTCCAGAAAGGGTTTGCCCACAAGCTTATATACCCTTATCATCGTTTCTGGGCTTCATATGGGCCTTCACAACCCAAAAACAATATAAAAAGTATTATTTATTATATGCTTTTTTAATTAAATAAAAAAGTAGAAACCAATAACATTATTATTGTATCAACTTGTCATATGTCCCTTTTTTAATTTCTGAAAAGATTAACTGAAATATTTGTATAGATATTTAATCTGAGCTTCATCAACTAAAATAATAATGATATATTTTTGAATAATGCAAAGAACTCTACAATACTTTTTTAGGATTAACTGAAATATGTATATAGAGAAAATGACAATCTATATATTATTAAAAGAGAATCATCAATTTAAACTAACTTTTATCTATTGTGTTATTTATATTATTTACCATTGGATTTATTAAAAAATTTAATCATTTCATTAAAGATAATAAATGATAATAACGCCTTCTTACAAATTTGATTAAACCATTCTAAGTTACATACACTATCACACACTTTACAATTTCTCTTAACCATAATTCAAATAACCGGGCTGTAATTTCATATAAATATGTTATACATCAATTGAAGATTGTTATGTATCTGAATATATGAAAGACTCAGACTCGATGTGCAGTGTTCTGTTCTCCACCAAATCTTATCAATCAAATATTCGTTCCTGAAACAAACAGAAGAATCACAAACTATCAATAACTATAACACTTTTACCCCCCCAAAAAACAATCAATAACTATTACAATTGTTGTACCTACAGATTGATAATTTGTGGATTCGACCGATACATAATCTAAAGCTTCTGAACCAGTATATTTTCATGTTGATATCTACTTGAAAAACCGGTTTGATTTCACAATTTAAGGACTACTAGGTGGTTGGCCCGCACATATGTGCGGATATAATTTTTTTTATATACATAGTTAATTATAATATTTAAGTATTGATTAAGGAGAAATATTGTTTTAATATTTTACAAACTTTTTTCTGAAACCAATGTATTTAAAACTTTTTATTTTTATAATGTTTGTAATAATATATAATCATAAATATAAAATATATATTAAATAATAATTAAATTCTTATAATATTTTTTGAATATTTTTATAATATGCCCTATTTCTCCTTACACAATCTACAATATGCTTTTTGCGTCTTACATAATATAAATTTGCACATACATATATAATATATTTTAAGTATACATTTTTCTTGATTGATTGCAAATTAAACTGAAATATTTTTTACCATTTTTACTTATTCCTAAGAGCGGATAGATGGTTGGCACGCATGTGCGGGCATACCAACCACTTCACTACATTCAGAATAGATACAGTTTTTTTTAAAAATATAAACGGTATAATAATTAAAATAAAAATTAGACTGTAATCAAGCTTAATAAAATATATGCACGAAAAAGTTCGCATGTGACTTCAACTAATGCACAATTAATATTTATGTCTCTACCCGTATATGTAAAAAAGTCGAAATATGGCTCTTACGTGTTAAAAAGTTTTTAAGTGACTTTATAAAACAAAGAGCGAGAGATTTATTTTTATATACTTCTACTTTGATTTCTTATTCATATTTGTTTCATCTTATTTTATTTATTCTTTCGTTCGGTTATTTTTTATTTTATTTATAATCTCAAATTTTTGATATACATTGAAATAAATTTATGTATATTTATATATATATATATATATAGGAATATGATATAAACTTTTATTTTTATTTAAAATATGATAAGAGATAAGATGAGATGGTAACATAAGTTATAGAAAATTAACAAAAAAAAAGATGATAGAAGTTATAGAAAAATATATGGCTCTATTAATATTATAAAATAATAATTAGTATATACTTTATTCATTTACTAAATATTAGTTTGAAAAGAAAAATTATTTTAAATTACGTTTTTTAAACAAATGTCAATGAAAGTTAATTATTATTTTTATTATTTTTAACATTTTATTATTTAGATTATTTTTATCATGGTTGTATTTTATTTAAAATTATATTATTTAATAAATTGTTTATTTAAAACTTGTTTAGATGTTATTACTATATTTTGTAAATTAATAACTTTCCAAAATAAAAATATATCATAGTTGAATTATTATTAATATATAGAATTTTTACTATTCTATTGGATAATTTAGTATTATTTTTTCTTTTTATATGAAATTACAATATATATATATATATATTGTTGAAAAAAATTCGTAATTATATTTTATGAAATTATGAATATATGTAAAAAATTATAATTATAATAATTGTTATTTTCTGTTAATTTAAATTTGTTAATTTTAGTGTTATAAATATAAACTAGTTTATTTATGTTTTAAAAGAATTTCTTTGATTTTAATTCAACCAATCAAAATATTTCATTTATTTTAGGAAATTTGACATGTCACATTTACATGTCATCAATTAAAAGCACTAACTTTGGTTGTACTGTTGACAAGTAAGCTATTTTCAATAATGTTACTTCTCAAATAATATGTAGTAGATATCTATTATATAACCAATCAATCATCAAGGCTCTGTTATTGTTGAACCATTGTAAACGTAACTATATTAGAACCTTAACCGTTAATATTTTTTGAACCATTGTCAACGTAACTATATTAGAACCTTAACCGTTAATTTTTTTATCTCTATAATATTATTTGAGAAGTATTTTTTGAAGTACTCGAAAAAAATAATGTATTTACGAGAAATACCATTATCTTATTGACTAAAATGTGCTTGGCAACATGTTTATTTAGTGATAAAACGGGCGAGTTCACTGAGTTAACTCAGTTAAGATGAATAGTTCCATGTCCAAACAAAAAAGTCCGACCCATTAACCCATTATAAAACACGCGGATCCTCTTTTATTTGAATTAAACCGATTTTTGTGAGCTGAAATAAATGTAAAAGAACCGGTAAGATTAATAGATTTCCAATTCAAACATGTGAATATCTCGAGCTAAATATATTGCAACTGGTATTTGTATTTTCTTTTAATCACATAAACGATATCCTAAATTCTCGTAGACTATCTAACATTAAACTCGAAATCTTAACTAAATATTCTTAACAACCCAATTTGAACAATATCATAAAATACCAGAATATTCTAATCAATCTACATATTCCTTCGTATGGCAATCTAATCAATCTCATATATGTAACAAGATTTATGTATAACTCATCTGTTCACCTATTGGCATGACAGATTTGAAAGATCTTGCTATATAATAATGAATATCTCTAAATATTGGCGTCTATAATCTTTCAAAAAGATTTCTAATTAACCTAACTGAATATATATAAATAGAAAAGAGCTTATCATGTCGTTTTACCTTCTTACGCTTTCCTTTGAAAATGGCTTCTAAACTTCCAATAACTTATGTTCAAAATATTAAGTCCTTCAAATCCAGTTGGAGGATTCAAGTCAAAATCCTGCACATTTGGAAGCATTTTGCTTTCACGTCAGGAGAATCTATGGAGATGGTTTTAGTCTACAAAGAGGTAATTTATCTTAATATAAGAAACATAAATCTGTTTGATGTTAGCTAAAATATTTCTTAATATTTTATAGGGTAGGAGAATTCATTGTTCTATTAAGAAACAACACTTGAAGAGATACGAGAACCATCTACTTGTAGGAAGCTGGAAATTCATTGAAGAGTTCAACGTTAGCAATTCAATTGGACAATACAGGACTGCTAAACAGTGTTACCGGATTAGTTTTGTCAAAGAGACAATTGTCTCTAATTCTGTAACGATGTCAGACTCTGATTTCTTGGGCTTGGTCCGCTTCAGTCAAATTCATGAAGGAATACAGAATCAGAGCATTTTGTGTGGTAAGTATTACCGTAAAAAAATTCCAAACAAAACTATATTATCTGATTTAGACTCTATATTTCTAACCTAATATGTTAAATTATGCAAGACGTTCTCAGCCAGATAGTGAATATGGGGCAACTATCTACGATGCATGTCAATAACAAGGAGGCAAAGAAGATTGACTTCGAACTCAGGGATGAGCGGTAAGTATTAGTAATCTGATTCTTTTAAACTCATATGTTCTGTTATTAATATATTTACTTTTCGTTAATGCTTTTTTCAAGATATGGATTCAGTGATATGCGTCTAAGTTGTACCTTATGGGGAACTTTTGCTGATCAAATCGTCCAAACCACTTCCAATACTGAGACTGAAAAGTAATTTGTCTTATTAGATTTGAAAAAATAAAAGAGTTTAGAGGTACACTTGCTACATTATCTAGATAGAAGCTCCACTATGTTCAAATATCCTTATTCTTACTTTTGTTTTGTCTATGTCTTCAAACGTAAAAAGTGTTTCCAACGCTTTTGATGCCAGTTTAGTCATCATAAACCCATTTGAAACAGAAATTGAAGAGTTTTTGAATGCGTGACTGCCTATATTTTAGTTAGGATCTGAGAATACATATATTTGAATAATTTTATCTAATTCTACTTCCTATGGTTTCATGACATCTTAATTTTGATTACAGATTACCAGATGATGGCTTGGCTCTTACTCTGTTGGAAAGCAAACCTATAAAGGAAAGTGGCGAAGACCGAGGATTACTGGAACCAGTTTCCTATGGTCACGGTTGCTGAACTCAAAGAATTAACTGAGGTCTTTATATTAAGATTTCATGCACAAATTAGCTATATATTTTCATAAAACAAAATATACTTCTTAATATAATGTTTCTTACAATTTTTTAGGTCGGTAAAGTAAGGATCATCTGCAGAGTGTATGCCATTTACATTGACCGGGGATGGTATTATTTTGGGTGCAAAATCAAAAATTATAAAAAGGTTAGAAAGATCGTGGAAGGAACCAATGGTGTGGTAGTTTTCTGAGGGAAACCTAGGTGGCATTGTAATGACTGCAATAATACTGTCACCAATGTTGTGCCCAAGTAAATGACCTAACATCTTTTTTTGAACAATTATAAGGCTATGATAGCAGTCACAATGCCATCACTGTGTTATGTCAGGTTCAAGCTGCATCTGAAGGTTATGGATACAACAAGTGAGATTACTATATTGTTATTCGATACATCGGCAAGTGAGATGTTAAAATGCCAAGCATCAGAATTGCTCGATGGATCATTCGATGAGGTATCTAAATTTTATTATCTTCAAAATTAGCATGTAATTTAATTGGTAGACCTTTGATTGCATTGGTAGTTCTTCAACGGACCATTCGATACTTCAATACTGATTTATCATTTAGTTGTTTATTTTCGTGTGTTCTATGATATATTGCTTCCTAATATATTTTTCATGCTTAGATCGAAGACCCTGAAGAAATCCCAGAAACGTTGAAGAACTTGGTCGGAAAAACTTTTCAGTTTGTTCTTGCTGTTGATAAAGAAAATCTCAGTGGTGGTCACGATACTTTCAAGGTTTTCAAGATGTTGAGTAATAAGGGTATGGTTGAAGATTTAACTATTGATGATTCAGAAAGCCAGTGAATATTTCAGAACTGGTTTCTGGCGATGAGGTGTACTATTACCTGATTATCTCTATAATATTATTTGAGAAGCACATTTTTAAAATACTCGGAAAAAACAATGTATTTACGAGAAATGCCATTATCTTATTGACTGAAATGTGTTTGGCAACATGTCTATTACCTGATTTTTTGTCATAATTATCATTAAATGGGCACTTCATTAATCTTAGTCAATTGTTTTTGGTCTTAGGGTTTGTTGACTCTTACCAACACATAGTCAATTAACAAATATGAAAATCCAAACCAAGTTACCCCTACTTCGAAGAGAAAAGATGACCTTATAATTGAAGTTCTCAAAGACCAACATTCAGTAAGTAAGAAGCAATGCAAAGTTCAAGTGGAAATTGAGAAGTTGGGAATGAAAGCAAAAGTGGCTAATGTTGAGTTGTAATTATTTGTTTTAAATCAGTTATTTGGTATTTGGTTACTATTTTTCTTAAACATTATCGATTTTTTATGTTTACTCATTCAAGATTTTGTTCACTGCGTGTATTTTCCCATAAAACACACCACGGCAACTGAATAATATTGCTTCAAGTATCTTATTTTTAATTACTTATTCACTACTCTTTTATCGTTTCCTCTTAAATTTTGTAATCTAATTTAGTTGAGATTTTAATTCTCAACAATGTTCTAAATTAGCAGTTGTGATTATCAATATTTAAAAAACAAAAATAAGAAGGAGAGACGTTACATACCTAAAGCGATATTGGGGTGTTAGCTTTGGGTTCATATTTATTCTTCAAAGTCCATGGATATATCGGTTGTAGCCCAACTCAATAACTTCTTCACCTTGGTATTTTCAAAGCGCATAGTAATCGATTCCTTTGCTGCCAAAATCAACCCGTAAATGAAAAAATATTGTTAATTTCAAACTATAATCATTGTTTCTTTTACTGTTTTCCTGAAAAGTTTCACCATTAAAAGCTTTTGCTTGCTTACCAAAAACTGAAACCTGGGCAGTGTGTTATCGTATCAACACTTTCCTGATTTTTAACCAATGCAATCAAAGGTACCTATCAATGAAAAGAAATTTTGTTAGTCCAAATTCATTAATATCAATATGGAAAACCGCTATATAACCCATTATCACGTTAACCTAGAATATCTTCCACTATATATACGGCCTCAACCTTCTACAAATTCTATCATTAAAAATATATACTGCCCATTTTACTACTAGGTTTTCCACAAATTCAAGCAATGTCTGACTATGACAAAATCATAGATTTTCATCCTTGGAAATCCAATTGGAAAATACGTGTCAAAGTTCACAGAAAATGAAAGACCATTGCAATCAATGGAGAAGAGTCTGTCCATTTCATATTGAGGGATGAACGTGTAAGTTTGGATCTCCTATATTAATTTTATTAAAATAGCAAGTTTGTAAATGTCATGTCACAATTACATCATCATTACACATCATCATTTCCATGTCAATCAAAGTATCATAGGATAGAGAAAAATTTTTAACCAATCAAATTAAAACAAATCAACATTTTTCATTAACTACATTCTCAATTAATAGGTAGAGGATTAGTTGATTTAAAGCAATTTGTTATATATACTTTAGAGTTTAATCATCAAGTTTGCATCTTTTAAATATTTCGTATCATATTTTCTTTTAGTTTTTTCATAGTCATTACCTTATTTTTTTAAACATGGGCCCAAATTTTGGAAAGTTCCCGAAAATTTTACAGCCAAATATTTCATTTTCCGCCAAATTTTTTAACAAGTTTTTCATTTGCCCGTGAATTCTTTAGATCCCTTTTTGAGTTAACCTAAATCGCTCTCCTCCCTTCTCTCTCTTGAAGATTCCAAATTTCCCACTTTGAAATTCCTGATGACAAGAAGCGCAACCCTTTGGAAGCTCCACCAGCGGCATCTTCAAGCGACGGCGTTAAAATCAAGACTTTCGCTAGAGAAGAAGAGGAAGAAGAAGGAAGAAGATCTGCCGTCTGCTCCTCTAGCTTCACCGGTGTCAAAATTGGGAATGAAGCGGCCGTGTGAAGGGACATCAAGGTAGGCATATATGAAGTGAGCAAGAAGGTTACTTTAGTTTTGTCCCTCATAATCTGCAACCCTTTTCCATATGGGGAAACAAAGCGTGTGTCGCTGCACTCTCGAATCGAATTGTAAACTTTTCTTTTGTCTTCTGATTCCTTCGATTTTACGTCTTCCTTGTGTCTATATCAATCTCTTAATTCTTCAGTTGCAGATGAAAGCTCTCTACGTCAAGCTCTACAACAAATATACCAAACTTAAGTTGTTCCCAGCAAGATCTTTCGTTTAATTTTTATTTAATTTTTGGATTTTATATTATTTTGAGTTTCTAAATTTTGATTTCAGATGTCATTTCAAGAAGAGAAGTTTCTAAACTTAGTTTCAAGTACCAATTTTGATCTATTTTTTTTTCCGGCAGATTCTTTATTTGTGGCTAGGTTTCTTTTGCTCAGCGCTTGAGTTTTAATCTCACCAAATATCATCATCTTCTATGTTGTTAGATTAGATTTCCAATAAACATGTGTCTTTTGGTTCAGTTTGGAATTATATAACAATTGGGTTTCTTTTGTGTTGTTTATTGCCTGCGAAATTGGAGAATTGCAAGTGTTTGAAGAAGGTTCATAATCTATCTTTCTCGTTTTTTTGCTTTTTCGTTCAATGCTGCAGCGGACAAAATGGTCACTTATAGGTTGGTTATCTTCTCGCCTTTTCAAGTGAGTCTTACTTCCACATTCCAAATTACATTTTTTTTGAATTTACTGGATTCAGAATATGAAGTCTTTGTTATTTTGTGAATGAGATAAGGTCAGGTGAGCAAGAATGCACTGCTTATGTGATGTTTATGGTTTTTTGTTCTCAGGAAACTGCTGTTATACTCAGTGTGAGTGTTGTTTAGATTTGAGGCCCTGTATTTTCTGTTTGGATTCACTCAAGACCCACTCACTTCTTTTAAATTCTCGATTAATTTCAGGGCTGTAACGATGTTGGAGCAGCACATTTGCATAAATCATTGGGGACATCATCACAAAGATTTCACCGAGTTTTGAAAATTCGAAGCACACTTTGAGGACATATTGCAGGATCTGCAATAGAAATCTTTAGTTTTCAGTTTGAACTTTTGTTATGTTTTGTTCTCATTTTTCAGGTTTAAATTTTTTGTTTGTCTTGTATGATAGATACATGACGATTTTTACTACTTTGAAGATTCAGGTTCTTTGTTATCTATAATATAAATTTTTTGTTCAAGAACAATTTATCTATTTTGATTTATTATTGAAAATTAAATACTTTTTAACCATATATGTGGCTATATTCGCTACAGACTGCTAGAGGAGATTGTTGTTTAAAGTTCGTAGCCCTTAGTGACACAAAAATCAGTAGCTAAAGTCGTCACTAATTTGCAAGAGAATAAGTTGTAGCCACATGGTTACTATTGGCTACAGAAATTGTTCTTGCTAATCTGCCACTAATTGGCTACAGATCAGCTACGAATATAGGATAGCGTCGGAGCTGAGGCAACGGAATTGATGTGTCGCTCTTCGTTGCCTGCTTAGTTTTAGCTACAAATTGTGTCCTATAGTTACAAAATAATCGGTAGCTATATCACTAAATTCTTGTAGTGTTTAGCTTCCCTTCTGTTTGTTCTCTCAATTGTTTTGACTATATAACTAATATATATGTATTATGTATATCGTTCTGATGAATTCTATATTATTATCTTCAAGAAACTACATTTATTTAGGGTTTATAATATTGAAGAAGGTGGGATTGTGGATTGGAAGAGGCACCCGAGGATTTCTCCTTTACCTTCTCGTGGGTTTCTCCGTCGCCATCTTCTCCGTTTCTTAAGTGGGAGAAACAAACCCTAATCTTCATCATCTCTCCCCTCCGCTCTCTGTCAGCGAAAAAGTCTGGCCAGTAACTACATATTCTTCCGTTTTCTTTTTTTTTTTTTTTTTATCGTGTGTTGGTTATAGTTTAGTCTGTGTTTTTCTTTTTTTTGCTATGTTTTCTTTAATTACTTCCATTTGGATTATGATACTGTATTCTCATACGCACGTCAGTATATATTATTACCGGCGAAAGAGAGCAACCCTCTGGTGAGATGGTCGGAGAAAATCAAGTATTTCGCTATGGCTTGGCATCTGCGGCGGCCTATTCGCCTACAAATTCACAAAGCGGCCTACGGCGTGATGGGTTATTGCCTTTGTGTCGCCAAAGGAGGCGCGGAGACTCTCAAGTTCAACATGGCTCTCATATTGTTGCCTGTTTGTCGCAACACCATCACTTGGCTACGGAACAAAACCAAGCTAGGTGTTGTCGTTCCATTTGATGATAATCTCAACTTCCACAAGGTTATTGCAAGCGGGATTGTGGTCGGGGTTTTGCTCCACGTGGTGTCGCATTTAACATGTGATTTCCCGCGTTTACTTACCGCCGATGAGGACACTTATGAGCCTATGATACTTTGGGGAGCAACCAGAGAGCTACTGGTTCTTCGTGAAAGGAGTAGAAGGATGGACTGGTATTGTAATGGTTGTGCTAATGGCTATAGCTTTTACACTCGCTACGCCTTGGTTAACAAGCTTAACTTACCTAAATTCCTCAAGAAGCTTACCGGTTTCAATGCCTTTTGGTACTCCCACCATTTGTTCATTATTGTTTATGCGCTTCTCATTGTCCACGGTATCAAGCTCTACCTCACCAAGACTTGGTATGAGAAAACGGTATGCTCTCCGAACTTGATCGTTTTTGTTTTCTTATTTTCCTTTGCTTTTTTTTCGAGTTAATTAACACTTAATTTGTGTTTGTGTGGTTCGTGCAGACATGGATGTATCTCGCTGTGCCCATCCTTCTGTATGCATCTGAGAGGCTGATCCGTGCTTTCAGATCAAGCATCAAACCGGTTAAGATTCTCAAGGTCAGATATGAAACAACAATAAAAATAACATTTTATTATTAGAAAAAATTCCTTTGAGCTTATTTTAAAGATATATATGTAACAACAGGTGCCTGCTTATCCCGGGAACGTTTTGTCTCTACACATGACGAAGCCACAAGGATTCAAATACAAGAGTGGACAGTACATGTTCGCGAACTGCAGAGCCGTCTCTACCTTCGAATGGCATCCTTTCTTTATCACATCTGCTGCCGGAGACGATTACGTGAGCGTACACATCCGCACGATTGGTGACTGGACACGTAAGCTCAGGACCGTCTTTTCCGAGGTATGCAAACCTCCTACCGCCGGTAAAAGCGGTCTGCTCAGAGCATAAGGAGGAGACTCTCGGGACATTGCTTTCCCAAAGATCCTTATCGACGGTCCTTACGGTGCTCCCGCACAAGACTACAAGAAGTACGACGTGGTACTCCTCGTGGGTCTCGGCATTGGAGCCACAACTATGATCAGTATCCTCAAGGACATCATCAACAACATGAAAACTCATCACCGTGACAGCGACATCGAGAACAACAACAGTAATGGGAACAGCAAAGGGTTTAGGACGAGGAAAGCTTATTTCTACTGGGTGACTCGGGAACAAGGATCGTTCGAGTGGTTCAAGGGGATAATGGACGAGGTTTCTGAGCTGGACGAGGAAGGTGAGATCGAGCTCCACAACTATTGCACCAGCGTGTACGAGGAAGACGACGCTAGGGTGGCTCTTATAGCCATGCTTCAGTTGCTGCAGCGCGCTAAGAACGGTGCTGATGTTGTCTCGGGCACACGTGTCAAGTCACACTTTGCCAAACCCAACTGGAGACAAGTCTATAAGAAGACCGCTCTTAGCATCCCGACAAACGAATCGGTAATTAACTAATCTTGACCGCTTTAGTAGTCTTGTTCTTATGTGATATAAAATTAGTGTATATTTGTGTTATTGGAATTTGCTCTTTCCTTCTAATGGTAGATCAATACCAGTGATGTGGTGCATGCACGGTGAGTTTTTCCATACAATATTTTTTATTTTCTTTGGTGTATCTTCTTATTTCTTTTTAGTTGTGTGTTTACTTTATGTATAATTTCTTATGTATCTTTTGATTTGTGTCTCCTTCGTAGAAAAAATCCATATCCTGTCGTCTTCAACAAGGTCCGTTCTAACTAAACTACTTTAGTTTACTAAAATTTCATAGTTATTACTATTTGATAACATTGATTTGTTAGTTTTTTTTTTTTTCTGAAGATCTTTGCTTTTTCGATCTTATTGTAGGGTTTTTATTTTGTTTTTATTTTACGATGGTTGACCAATTGGTCAATCGGCATTTTATATATACCCAAAGGAATATTTTAGAGTATGTTTATTTATATTTTTTTGTTACTTTTGTAGTATCAGCGATGACTCGATTCATTAAACAATCCTTTTAGGTATAAAACTTTTATTTTTTGGTTCATTTTTTTTTCTTTTTATCCTTTTATAGATTTTTGTCCTGATTAATAGTGTATGCTAGTGTGTTTAGATGTTCTTCGTTGATCAGTAGATTTGATCACACCTTGAATAGTGTCTGCTACTGTGTTTAGATCTTCTTATTTTTCTTATTTCGTTATTGATTCACGTTATTGATCGATCAGTGTAACTCAGACCCTTCCCTTCTCTCTACACCCACGCTCTCTTTCTGCTGCGAGTACCTCAAGAAGTAGTACTTCTCATCTTCTCTAACTTCGTTTGCTTTGATCTCGTTTTTTTTTTTTTTTTTTTTTTTTGCTAGGGTTGAAGTTGTAGGGGGAGAAGAAAAAAGAGGAAGATGTGAGGAGTGGATCGAAAGGTTATGGATGAGAACATTACTCTCACCATATATTGCCAACTATCAAAAGTATACGTATATCTATCTATTGGTTTTTTTTTGGTTGAAATCTATCTATTGGTTATAGTCGTGATGTTAATGTTAATGTTGTTTTTCATTTTTTGGTGTAGATTAAAATGCATTTGTTGATTATTAACTATAGTGGATTTCAAATAATGATTATCCGTAATTTTAGTATTGAGTTATTTACTTTTCAGCATCTTCTTGTTTTTCTTTGAATATGTATGATAATTGATTTGTTTCTCATGATTCTTTGATGGTTGATAGCTTAGTTTCCTGTCTGCTCTGTTCTATCTATCCGTGAAGATGGATTAACTGCTACCTTTGTGAGATCGGGTATACTGGTCAGCTCTACAACTAGAGAATTATGGGATGTGTGGCATGGCCCAGCTGGTTTGGTGTTGCAACTGCAAAAGCTAGCCAGATTTGTTTGTGTTTTTGTTTTCATTTTGAACTAGACTAATACCCGCACCTACGTGCGAGTTTTTTTTTAAAATAAAATGTATTTTGTTATAAAAATAAAATATGTTTATGTAATTTCATACTTATAAAACTTTTTAAATATAATATATTTGTTAAATTCATTTTTACTGTATCCAATAGGTGAAAGATACACCGATAATAGGTTTGACCGAAATGATGAACTTGGTGCATAGGCTTGTCTAACGACTCCCTACCTAAATGTTCCTTGGTATATGGCGGACTTCCCAATGAGTGTGAGCATATCTACTCTCTCTAAGCGTCTTTCGGATGAGACAAATCAAAGGAAAATATGTATAAGGAAAGAAAAAGAGGTCAAAGTTGAGAAGAAAGGCCGAAGATCTCCCAAGCATCCCTCGGAGGCGAGAGGCTGAAGATTCTCTAACGATCCCCCAAAGGAGCGCCAACTAAGATAAGCATTCATTTCTTTTCTATCTCTTTACTATATCCCCATTAAGAGAGAGTTCCACCTCCACTCTCTCAGTGGTTCATACATTTCACATTTTCCTTTGCCAAATGACAGAAGAGTATCACGATCCTTGGACGGGATATCCAAGCTATAAAGAAATCACCATCCGTCCACCCTTTTGATTATCTGTTCACTGCGGGACGTCATCTAAATTGTGCATCAGACAACTTTCAGAAGGGAAACCTATTTCCGGTCTCCCAAAGGCCCGATTCACCCACTGTGAATGTTTGCAGGACCCAAAAAATTTCTCATCCAGAGAGTATATACCGTTCAATCCTCGAAGCCTAATCTAAGAGGCTCACTTGTACTACTCGGACGAACACACACATCCCCGTAAAAAATCCCTAATTTTCTCACGAACAATATTATTTCACAAATACATATAATAATTGAGTTTTTTATATCATATATATATATATAGTTGTATAAAGCTATATTTTTATATTTTATTTTATGATATCAATTAATTTATAACACTATATACTATTTTTCGAGAGATCTATCAAACATAATTATGATTCTATTTTGATAATTATTACTTTTTTATTTAACTTTTAAAATACCATCAAATAGGACTATTACACACATCACGCAAATAATAGTTTTTTTTTCTTTATATTCTTTTATCGTCAAATTACAACTATATCTTATTTTTAAATAAATATATGTTTGTTATGGAAATAGTTCATTCATCATCAAAGTTTCACGAACATTATCAATTTGTTTTCTTTTTTGCTAAAAATTGCTTTGAGAAATCCTTTTTCGTTTTTTTACAATAAAAAGAAGTAGTTTTCTCTGGTTTCTTTATATCTTAAATTATTTTTAGCTCAAATTCAATTTAGTTTTATTATTTAAAATCATAAATAAATAGATGTTTCATATTCCATAAAATGCAGTTTTATATCTAACTAATGAAATTTATTTAATGATAATTATTTATTAGATTGTTTTAATTTTAGTTAGCCACTTGTCACTTCTAAATTAATTTAAAATGCTGATGTGTCAAGCTGCTGGAGAGGGTTATTCCCTATTCATATATATGATTTGATTTAAAAGCTTGTATGTTATTGAGTTATAACTTATGAAATATATATTTTGATTATTGGTTATATATTAATATAATTCATGCTTTGAACATGGGGAATCATAGTTAAAGCCGTCTTTAATTCATCTTCTTCTATTGTATAAGTATATTTTCTCACTAATTTTAGATTTACTTTTTAATATTTGTAATCGAGTTTAGGTTTTAGCTATTTGTTCCATCTTTGTTAATTTATACATCAGTTGATCTCACACCCAGCTTGCTGGTGTTTTATTTGCAGAGGTGAGAGGTAACGCCCAATGATCGCGGTAATATCTGATGTGTGCTTAACTGAACTGTTTGTATTTTGTTGTCAGATATTTGTTCTAAAATAGATTTTGGCATTCTATGGAAATTTTCTGTTGTTTGATTTTGTAACATACATTATTTTCTACGGTTTTCTCAAAGTTTTGGAGCGTACACAAGATGTTTACAGGTATATTCTGAATCTTGTGAAGTAAGATTCAACTACGTTTCACTTGTGGCGGTTCAGACTGACTCTTTGCATTTGTCTTACCAAACATTACAGTTTGCAGAGCATTCCTCAAGCTTATCTCTCACACTAAATTATTTTCCTTTGCCAAAATATGGTTGCTCGCCAAAATATGGTCGCTCCATCTCTCTTTTTTCATTGGACTTTTACACTGAGAAAAGATGAAGCATGGTGGAAATCCTAGAAATCCTAATCGATAACGCCCAAGTAATGGATTACTATTACAGTCTCGAGGAAGATGACATTGATTTCTCTTCCTTTCGTCTCAACAGCTTTTACAGCACATGTGATATTTGGCCCACTACAAATCGTTAATATTTTTTTTTTGAGAAACAAGATAACGAAAATGCTTATATTTATTAGTCTCTAATTTTTTATGATTAAATTTCATCAATTTTATTTTATTATAATTTTCCCCTTTATTAATAATCAAACAAAAAAATTGGATTTAAAAAAAAATCGTAACGGAAAGGCTCCCGATGGCGAAGAAGATCTAAAAATGTTTTGGTTTTCATGGTTGATAGACGGCAATATATGGGTATTTTTTCAGTTTTATGGGGGTTTCTAGGGTCTTGTCTCTTTCTTGGACAGCTGATAAGAACACGATCACTTTATTACTATGAACCAACGATTACACACCCAAGCGGATAAGCTTGCAGGCGAATCTATCTCTCAATCCCTGAACAATTCTCAGAGATGAGCCTTTCTCTCTCTATCTTTCTGAATGCCCGCAACAAAGGAGACAGGACAATATTTATATCGAAATTCAATTACAACACTAAACCGAAAACTAACAATTAAACCGGTTCAGCATTTGAATTAATTCCATCCGCTCCTTTCATCTTCTTCTTCCTCGAAACATAAACTCTTCTTGGCATATCAATACCCCCCGAATGTAGACTGAGCTTGTCCTCAAGCGAAAATGAAGGAAACTGCTGTTTCAGCTCACCCGCACGTAACCACGAAGTTTTATGTTCTGGTAACCCTTTCCATCTGATCAACAACTCTAAATGTCCCTCGTCATCATACCGTGTATCCGCAATAGCCTCAGGTTCAATCACCAGCTCATCATCCACGGACACTGACTGAGGCAAAGGCATCACCGTCTGTCCTTCACCAATCACTGGTTTCAATTGTGACACATGAAACACTGGATGGATTTTAGAGGAGTCTGGTAAACGGAGCCTATAAGCTACTTTTCCCACACGCTCCAAAACTTCATAGGGTCCATAGTAGCGAGCTGCTAACTTTTGGCAAAGACGTCGGCTTACAGAGTGTTGCCGATACGGTCGTAGCTTCAAATAAACTCTCTGACCAGGACAAAACTCCAAGTCTCTTCGATTTTTATCAGCATTATTCTTCATAACATCCTGAGCCCTCGTCAAGTGCTCTTTAACCTCAATCAAAATCTGATCACGCTCTCGTAAAAGCTTTTCCAACTCGAAATTCTGAGTACATCCCATCTCAAAACGTAACAATGATGGTGGATCTCTGCCATACACAACCTTAAAAGGGGTTGTGTGAGTCGCTGTGTGATACGACGTATTGTACCAAAGCTCAGCCCACGATAGAAATTTGGACCACGTCTTCGGATGAGTTGAAGCAAAGCATCGGAGATAAGTCTCTAAGCAACGGTTTAATACTTCTGTTTGCCCATCAGATTGTGGGTGAAACGCTGTGCTGAAGCGTAACTTTGTCCCTGAAAGACGAAAGCATTCTCTCCAGAAGTTGCTGAGAAAGATCTTATCTCTATCCGAGATAATGGACTTGGGATAACCAT